CGTTTCTGTAAAACAAAAACATACGAATAGTGATATAAAGTTGCATCATTGAACTTAAAAACAATTGATGAGTTACATGTCTTAAAAATTTAAGTAACAATTGGAAGAATTTTCTGGAATCAATAGGTAAATACATATCATGTTTTTAAAATGATAAGCCCATAGCCTAGTTTTTCTAGCCTATTATTTTAATTTCTTTACTCTTTAATCGTGCGGAGATGGAGTATCAAACATAAACTCTGTAAGTTGTTTAATTCTAGTATCATTCCTTGGTTCTGTTGTGGAACTACTCTCTGGGGACATCATCCTACCAATAACTGATTTCTCATTCACCTTCACAGTCCCTCGTAACCTGGCTGATTCAGCTGGTTTAATAAAACTAGTCCTAACGTCCGGTGGATGTGATGATGGAGTCGGTGGTTCCACTCTTACTGTGATTTTCTTTGAGTGTTTTGCTCCAGTTGTCCCCGGCGATGGTTTCATCGGTGATATCTTAGGCAGTTCGTCTAGTAGTTTGGTGAGATCAGAATCATCGTCAGAGTTCTCTTCAGCTTCTCTGAGCCGTAATCGGAGTGAGACAGAAGCTTTTGAAACTTGGGAGGTTCGAACATCTCGAACTTAAATTGGTTTTCTGTCGAGCGAAAAGCGGCATCAAGTCCCTGGTCAGAGGAAGTCGCAGGTTCAGTTTGACTGGCAGTTTGACTGGCAGTTTGACTGCTCTGGTTACTATCTGCTAAATGATGAGGCCAGACGAACACACTATCTGGTGAATCAGTAAACGCGTGATCGGATAAATGTTTGAGAGTGCTGGCAGTTGTGGGACAGTCCTCATCAGAGATAGGAGATCCTAACTCCAGATTAAGGTTAGCAGTATCTGGGTGGAGCAGGGTAGTGTCTGACATTTCTCTTGTTGATCAGTCGATGTGCTCGGATGTTCTGCATCATTACTCGTATCCTGGATATTATCTCTCCCTGACAGCATAAACATACGCTGTTTAGCCAGTTCCACACTGTCAAACACTCCAATCTCCTCTAAGCTCTCCGCGGTTCCCTTGTAATACCCGTCCTCCTCCTCCCCCTCACTCTCACTGTTATCACGTGACCTGGAGTAGGAATGCAGAGCGTTCCTCACGTACGAGTCCAGGATAAACACCCTGTTCTGCCACACGTGATCCCCTAACACCTCCACTGTTTCCTGAGTAGCATTCCTACAGTTGGGAGCGTGGAGTTGGCCAGGCTTGATGCTGGGGTCCCCTTTCTTTCTGCACCACGGCAGTTCAGCTCGCTTGCTGTTTATCTCTGTTGTGCTGAACCGCACCTGCTTCTTGGTCTTCGCTTTCCAGTGGACTCTGCTTGCTTTAGGGTTCAACCAGGGGTTGTTGGTTCTCAAATCTTTACCGTGTATCTTTTCCAGCAACTCAAGGAACCCGAATTTGTGTAATTTTGTGCTGGAGCTCGGTTCGTTCTGATTACTTTTCCGGACTGTACCGCCGTCCTTTTTAGGACTTGGTATATTCAAGTCAAGCAAGAAATATGCGTTTGTGACTTCCTCCGATCGCATGTCTTGGTTTTCTTCTTCTTCAAATACGACGGTTTCAAAATCAGTCGTTTCTTTTTGCTCCGACATTCTTCTTCAAGTGACATTGTTACAGCATGCCCTTCTGAAAAACAATATATTATGATATAAAACCATAATTCAATCCGTAACCACATTGCAAAATTAAATATTATGAAAGATCCAGAGGAACAAATTACTAAAGTATCAAAAACTCAACAAATAAGTAACCCTCAATTCCCACGAGACCCAGAGAGTGCACGAATGTAAATGAGGTACGAAAATGTGTTCGTGAAAACACAAACTGCTTTTATATAAACCTGAGGAATTATATACTCCCGTGATCTAATGCGTGAATGATGTCATAAATCACGGGTTCGACATTCCAGAAATTTCTCGAATAGTCTACACAGTACAAGATACAAGATTGTATTAGCACTTTCTGCGCTAGAAGAATAAAGGTTGGGTTTCAAATGACATCACAAAATGTTGTACTAGAATATTCGACAAAGGCGAAATGATGAACATATAAGGCAAAATTCGTGGTACAAACAAGCTACGAGATAATTTTGTGAATTGCTAACAAGTGCACTAAAAATAGCAAATCCAGCCGAATCTAATTAGCAAGCATCACATTTACACTGGCAGAAAAGCGGCACAAACGTGTCTGCAAATTAATTACATTGTGTAACTAATCAACAGATATTGCTGGTAGCCATTTTAGGAGAGTTTAAAATTACGAGCTGATAACGCTTGAATTAGATAAATTATCGTCGTGTAGCGAAATGAGTGACAAAGGAACGCGAACGTGTATAGAACGCGGCTCATCGCCGTGTGTAGTATCAATAGCATGTAATATAGAACTACTATAGTGTGCTTCTAGCTGGCTAATGAATGAAATGTGATCACCATCGCTGTGTGTGATTCAGGGAATAACGTTGTCATGGAAATGTGATTTGCAAATGTGATTCCTAACATGTCCGAGGGACAGGATACTGAGAAACAAAATCGAAATAGAAATTGTGTCATCCAGTAAAATTCTTTGCATAACTTTAACTGTTTGAGGAGACAGAAAGATAAACTCACAACTCAACAGACGTGTGGAACTACTCATAGACTGAGAAGTTACTCAAAACCTGGTTTCAAAGTCCACGCCTATACCATTGAACAGTGTATGTACTGCAGGTTATGGGATGGTTTATTGCCGTTTTATGTAGAGCCAGGCTGCACTAGTTTTGATAATCATGTTGTGACTGTTCAACTGAACTAAACAGGTTCATCAACAATGACAATAAAAAGCTAAACAAGAAATGAAATAGAAATTGTGCTCACGTGTCCAGCATTCCTTGCACAACTGTTTGAAACATTCCTAGACAGGAAGATCTGAGTGAATCTCAAGTTGTTCACAACTGTTTGAAACATTCCTAGACAGGAAGATCTGAGTGAATCTCAAGTTGTTCACAACTGTTTGAAACATTCCTAGACAGGAAGATCTGAGTGAATCTCAAGTTGTTCACAACTGTTTGAAACATTCCTAGACAGGAAGATCTGAGTGAATCTCAAGTTGTTCACAACTGTTTGAAACATTCCTAGACAGGAAGATCTTAGTGAATCTCAAGTTGTCCAGCATTCCTTACACAACTGTTTGAAACATTCCTAGACAGGAAGATGTGAGTGAATCTCAAGTTGTGCTCCATCTAAATCCCGTCAAGCATGCAACTCAAACCAACTATTGAGTAGCTTCTAAGATGCAATCACAACTCACAATCTGTGCAATAATGTGCGATAAACATCATAGAATTGTACTGGAATACTGGTCAGTACTGGAATACTGGTCAGTACTGGAATACTGGTCAGTACTGGAATACTGGTCAGTACTGGAATACTGGTCAGGATGTCCAGTATCCACGCCCATGGTACTACATTGGAGAAGATATTAATAATACAACGTTTGGATAATAAAATATGATCCTACTTCGTTTTAAGTAGAGCCAGGTTGCTTAATTATGTTGTAATTGCTCAACTTAACTAAACATAGATCAATACTATAATGTGATTAAACCCAGGCTTCTTTGTCATAATATGAAATAATGCTCATAATAATATCGTCTTGGACCATTCGACCAGATCCGCTGAATTATGTGTAAATCTACGATGTTTTGTGATCGCTACTCGAAAATCTTGACGGGAAAGCTCTTTAATAATCCAGTTGAATTTTAGACAATGCGTAATAATTCTTAAAAGTTAAAGCAATGTTAGCAACCTGCAGTGTTGCAGAATAACTTTATCAAACATTTGGGAAATTATAATAATCGAATCTAATTCTACAGAATTGACCAGCAGTATTCATTGCCTCACGTTATAATGTGTTGAATACCTTACCCAAATAAACGTGATCTTAAACTCAGATGAAATATATGTTGAGATTTTTAAAAAGTTTTACAGAAAAATATCATAAGGTGATGCAGCGAGGACAATATTTTGTACCAAGAATGAAATGAGGTAATGATAAGATTAAGGGTTTATCTTTTAAAGATGAAATTAAAGTTTTATCTAAATTTACGTTTTTAAAATGTCGATAACAGTAGATAATACATTAGACTCTTTCACTTGCACACAACCAATGAACAGGTAAATTATATTTAATGGACTTCTTAATGAGTAATGACGACATAGCCCCATTGATAATTCTAATTATAAGCGAGCAGCTGCAGCTGTACAAGTAGAGATTTAGAAGGTAATAAAGAACGGAATCAAGTGTACACGAGAGGAACTACCAGTAGGGGCGTGTTATAGAGTTATTTATCAGACGGGGGATCGGCTGTAATAGACACGAAATATGATCACTTAATGAACATTTAACTGGTTTGGTGATGATACTGCTATCAAATACTGTAAACTGAGTTGAGGTGGAGAAGTAACTTGAATGTGTAGATCTGATTTATTGCTTCAACATTTTAAATCTTGGAGACTCAGAAACGTTCAGATCCTTCTTTTAATACATTGAAAACGATTATGACAAATTTAGTCATTGTAGGGGGCTGATATAATAAACATCATAAGAACACCAAATGACAAATATAGGAAATAAAAAGTCGAACATACCCTGTAAATACCAAATAGTAAAGGTATTAGCAGACAGTTCTGCGAACTTAAACGGTTATACACAACGTATGGCAGTTGAACATACAACAAAGTCTATGAGTGAGTCTAGCACGCAATCGTGATACCGCTTCTTCCTTTATTAAACCACTTAAAGCTATTGTTCACATTACGTCATGCATGTCACGTGCATTTTAAACTGGATAATATCACTCCTTTTAAAAAGTTAAAATCTGGTTCTAGCTTTATTTTGCTGTAGAGTTTTCGAGAAGTTTCCGAAAGATCTCTTTCGGAAATTTAGGCATTTCAATTTTTATTACGCTATTAACAATTGCAATTTCAGGGCGGCGACACGAGAAAAGCCCAAATTAAAAGAGCAAAACAAGTCTAGCGGAAATCAGCTGCCATCCATACCAAAACGGCACTTTTCATCCTCTAACAGCAGCCAAGTACGTTGTTATCTTTATTACAAACTGCTGATTATTTAAGATATCAGTTCTATTTATCTTATTATGCAAATAATATGTTATATTTTATAAAACAAAGTATACTTCACACTATAATTAGCACTACACTTATTTTCTATTATTACCACATTAAGGCTACAATATATTTATATGTGTGTTTATAAACACATATATAAATAGTTGTGTTTATAAACACAACTATTTGCTTATTGTTAAGATAATGATATACCGTCTATTTTATCGTAGCCCTACAAAACAAATAAAACAACAGATAGGCACGTATTCTAGTAATTTAGCCTTTTAAAATAAAACACTGCTAAAATCCTAAAAAGAAGCTGCACAATGTACTATTTTCAATGCTAATTCCGCACTATGTAGTAAATTAAACTAAATTGAAATAAACTATTTACAGCCAACAACATTCCAGCGCAAGAGTTCAGGTCAAGTTACTACAAGGTAAGACCACAGCTATAAGTAATATCATAAAAACACAAGGACCCAGGAAGATGATGTCAGGGCACGTGGTTCAAGCACGTGGTTAAAGCACGTGGTACGCCCTTGCTTCCTATTGCGGTGTATAATGTATATTGTGTATATAATAGTGGTGGGATATATTGGGGTACTTCACTTACAATGTAGCACAGGAAATTTGTGCATCAAACTTGGAATTTGCCGGCGTGATTTGAAGATTTATTGCGTTTACAAGCTGGAAATATTATGATCAAATCTTTCGACTGTCTTGTTATTTGTGATCATGGAGCACGGCGTCCTAAGAATTTACCGCAAAATATACAAATCTTTTGTTCGCCCGGCTTTTGGTTTACGCACATTTTCTAATAGTACATTAGTCTTTGCGTCTAGATACACTTTGATCAATCCACGGAATAAGCATGTAAGTAATATGCCCAATATGTTATAAGTATGCAACAGGCAACTAGATATGACGATGATTTAAATTTTTGTGATGCTCATACTGACTGTAACATTTTAATTTCATGCTCGCTTTATAACTCCGACTGCGCTTCGTATTTGTCTGGTTTCTGACCGTTGCTACGAATCAAGCTACCATGGTACATGGAGAGCAAATTAGTTTGAAATTCAATAGCCACCAGATGCAAACGATAGCATTGTTTATTTTTATGGTGCCGGCAATGTCAACCTCATAAACAAAGTTTGAAAGTGTACGTGCTATGTGATTGCGCGCTTAAGAGCCGCGCGCACGTGAACAGATAATTTTAAAATAACTTATCAATTCTTTCAGGCCACCGATAACAAGTAGAGTTATAAGAACGACCAAGCAACAACAGCCAGTCAGCAAACCAGTCCTCATGTCCACCACTCCCAGAAAACCTACCACAACCTTCACAAGGACCGGAAGATTACGGTCCTCGGCCCCCATAACCGCAGGATGACTGGGAGATGACGGGACTGGTAGCCAGGGAAATGTACATTTTTAAGTTTGTTCATTTTAAAATTTAATAAGAAAAAGAAATGAACGAAAGAAAGATTCGACATGGAGTAAACTGTGCACTGGATGTGTCTCCGAATTGTCAGAAATAATCCACAGATGTCAGGGCCAACTTAAAACGAGGCGTTGATTTGTGATTGTTTGTAGCAAAACTGATAAATGAATGCTGTAGAACCATTTGTGAATTACATTGTGCCTAATTGCAGTAAACTCAACTCCGCTTTTAATTAGATTTTATATACTAAATTAAGATTTTCTCAACAATTGCAGTAGACGCTGATAATTGTCAAGAAAACTGATGTGATTTTTTCAATTCTTTACTAAATATTAAAAGACAATTTTAAAGACTGCGTATCCTTTTGTGAATATTTAAAACAAATTTACATAATCAAAGTTTAACATCGAATACTTGTCAATCAAAAACACAAAAATCGAAATCATTTTATTCAAATTCAATACTTTTATAACTTGGAGTGTATTGTAATGATGATGCTTACGGTTCCTAAAACAAGGAAGAGCAAGAGGTGTCAAGAATTTCAAGGATTTTAAAAGAGCGAAATTATGATAATTGGGTGCCCATTCTGGATGCATGCCCAATTGTGGTCACAAGGAAAGGGAAATAAGCCCTAAATCTCATACGCCGACTGAGAGAGGAAACTTGGCATTGTGAATGTGACTTCTTCCCCAGCACGAAAATATATCGCCAAGATGCAGAAATTATTACCTGCACACTGCGTGTCCGGCCTAAGAGATAACAATTTCTTTAAGGGGGGGGGGGGGGGGGGGGGGGGGGGGGGGGGGGGGGACAATGGATATTTTTTTGTGAAACTTGATTTCGAGATAGCAGTTGACCAACAAACTAGGACCAGTGACCAAACTTTTGAGGGGGTCCCGGACCGCAACCGCCAAACGGTGCCCGCGGGGCAGCCACGCACATATTTGGTCCAAATTAGGCCCAATTTAACCAAATACCCTTAACATGCCCAAAACCCAGATTTTAGGTGCTCTACTTGTAGCTAGTGGTCTCCTGAACTCGTATATGAAATTTCATCAAGATTGGACAAAAAATGACTGAGTTATGAGCCAAAAACCATATGCCCATATTTGGGCATACGCACCAAATTTGGTAGATTTCGTCCCATAAATTGGGCAAATATCATCATTTTTGAATATAACTTACTTTATAAGAAAGGTACGCCTAAACTACATATTCTCTGTAAGTTATAGCTTTATATCTGTTTAAATGTGGATACTAAGGCGAAAAAACCACAAAAAATGAACTAAATTGCCCGTATCTTGGTTCGCGATATTCGCGGAATTGATCTCATTAAAATTGTAACAACTCAATCAGTTTTCAAAATTTTTCCATGAAATTTTCGGAATCGACTCGAAATCGCATTTCCACCTTATTTTGAGAACAGATTTTTGATTTAGGCCTCCAAAAAAATTTGGCGGCCAAATTCCAAAATTTTCCCGGAAAAATTCAGAATTTGGCCGCCCAAATTTTTTTTGAGGCCTAAATCAAAAATCTGTTCTCAAAATAAGGTGGAAATGCGATTTTGAGTCGATTCCAAAAATTTCATGGAAAAATTTTGAAAACTGATTGAGTTGTTACAATTTTAATGAAATCAATTCCGCGAATATCGCGAACCAAGATACGGGCAATTTAGTTCATTTTTTGTGGTTTGTTCGCCTTAGTATCCACATTTAAACAGATATAAAGCTATAACTCATAGGGAATATGTAGTTTAGGCTTACCTTTCATATAAAGTAAGTTTCATTCAAAAATATTGATATTTGACCAATTTATGGGACGACATCTACCAAATTTGGTGCGTATGCCCAAATATGGGCATATGGTTTTTGGCTCATAACTCAGTCATTTTTTGTCCAATCTTGATGAAATTTCATATACGAGTTCAGGAGACCACTAGCTACAAGTAGAGCACCTAAAATCTGGGTTTTGGGCATGTTAAGGGTATTTGGTTAAATTAGGCCTAATTTGGACCAAATATGGGTGTGGCTGCCCCGCGGGCACCGTTTGGCGGTTGGGGTCCGGGACCCCCTCAAAAGTTTGGTCACTGGTCCTAGTTTTTTGGTCAACTGCTATCTCGAAATCAAGTTTCACAAAAAAATATCCATTGTCCCCCCCCCCCCCCCCCCCCCCCCCCCCCCCTTAAAGAAGAGTTTACGTAATCAGCCAACCATCATTAACTCGCCGTTGACCATCTAGGCTCAGCCTTTCGCTCTAAAATGTCGGAAAATATACAAAACTTGTGGCCTCTCGGATCAACCTAAAATGTATCCGGTATTCTCTGCAAAATCTATATTATCAATCGTGGTATAAAGTCCACAACAATAAGACAGATCTGAAGTTTTAAATATCTACCACAAAGTTTTGCAAGTTAATGTTTCTATGCTGGGCACACTTCCACCAACGACAGTGCATTATAAAGGCACATCCTGTGAGGGGGGATTTCCGCGATACTCTCGCTCGTCAAAGTGTTCAGCACGATCGAGCTCACCACCCTCATCCGCTCCTTGCCCCCCGTGTAGTCCACCTTCTCTGCCCGAGGCATTGTGGTCATAGATCGCTTCCTCGTGGTACTCGGGGATCGTACCATCAGCGGGTCTGACTCTCTGGAGGACAACGACTTAAGTTCTCCAGAGGTGTCAGGTTCGTCAGTCGTGATGTAAAGCATGTCACGACTGTTACCAGTGGTTTGGAGTTGAGGATCTTTGTATTCCCATAGTAAGATTTTAGGATATTCAAGCAGCCCTTTTGTGAGTGCCAGCAGCTCTACTCTAAAAGTCACCTTTTCAACGATATCTATTTGACGCCGCTTGTACCCACAGACGGCCCACTCCCCGTTTTGAGAATCAACGCCGTAAAGCAGCCTCCAGATTCTTTTATCTTCGGTATGATTGGAAGCTACAGTTTTCTGAGCCACTATGTTAACCTCGAACATACACGTTTCACCCTCACGTGGTACGCTGGTCAGACAGGATAGAGACACAGAAAAGTGAGGGTCCTTTGGACGAATCTCAACAGGAGAGATGAAAGAGTAGCACTCAGCTGAACCTGGCAACTTGTACTCCAACTCAACTTTAGCTTCTTTTGGAAATGTGCCAGCAGACTTTTCCATACTCCAGATGTAACAATACTTTTGTTTTGGCACCAAGTTCCTCTCCGCAAAGGGCATGATACTCTTGAACGAACCAGGGTTCTCCAGGTGACACCCTGTTAAGACCATATCGGTGGGTAGATTAGAAGTACACTCAGATATAAGATACATCAGCTCACCCTGGAACCTGTATTTTGTCTGAACGAGGAAAGGTTGATAGAAAGTGAGGAGGAGGGAGATACTTCCTGCTATCCAGGATATATCAAGCAAATGCTGACAAAAGTACTCTTTGCTGTCACATATCATTGGTACAGGTAAGTGGATTAGCTTTTTGAAAGTAGAGCTGGTAAAGTAAGAGTCCAAGTCTCCCCGGTCTTCTGCAGTGTGAACAGGCCTTGTTCTTCTTCTCCCTGAATTGAAAAAGATAGATTAGATCGTTAAATACAGAACTTGTAGACACTCAATAGGGAAATCCGTAGACTTTTATTCAATATTCAAGTTCACACTGATAAATGCAAACAAGTACGTAGAGGCACTGGATTAACGTTATCACAATCATACCTCTATAGAGTATGTTCCATTTTCCACAGGGATTAGATCCAGTCCAGCAGTCGCAGTTTTGATACTGATACTCAACGAGTGGAAGGCTTTGTCAGTATTGATAGCTAGAGTGCAGAACTGGGAGGTTTTTAAACGTTAGCTTTGTCAGTATTGATAGCTAGAGTACAGAACTGGGAGGTTTTTAAACGTTAGCTTTGTCAGTATTGATAGCTAGAGTACAGAACTGGGAGGTTTTAAACGTCAGCCTATATGAAAAATAAGGAATACTAGGTATACACAGTGAAACTTCCAACACAACCACAAAGAAAAATAATGTATCACAACAAAGAGAGTTTAAAATTGTGTATTAAATTTAAGCCGTAGGACATACATATTACATTACACTGAATCGAGCTGTAATTTCCTCCAGTCTGCGCCGCGCGCCTATGTAGCCGTACGCGGCGCATACTGGATGAAATTACACTGTGTTGACTGCGTAAGCTCCAGTGTAATGTAATATAAATGTACTACGGCTTAAAGGATGAACCGAGGCGGAAAGAAAGTTTCTAACCTGTTGTTTATCAGATAACCAGACCCCAGCAGCAGGTTGAACCTGTTGACCGAGTTGGAAAGAGAGTAATTCTAACCTGTTGTTTATCAGATAACCAGACCCCAGCAGCTGGCTGAACCACCTCTACACTCACCCCAGACGCTTCCATGTCCACCTCCACCGCCTCCAGCCAGGAGGGCACCACCGGGGACTTCAGTCTGAAGATAACACAGCCCACCTGGATCTGGAGACTGGAGACTCCGTAGAGACCTGCGTGGGACGGCAGGACGGACATAGATACGTTGTTACTTCCTGATGTGCGAATGCTTTTTAGTTATATACCCGTTTCATGTTGTATATTAAATAGTAATAATAAATCATAGCAATTCGATAGCTGTCGAAATGCCGAGGACCTATAGTTTTAACTCTAAAAAGGAGTAGGTAAAATAATATACATATTTTATGTGGTTAAGGTGCTTAGTCTGCTTAGATTCTTTTAATGGTTAGGTCTCGAGCAGAGACAACATAAAGGTGTCAGTGCGAACTTTTTGAGAACAGTTTTTAGAAGAACATTGTTCTATAAATGTGTTTTTCCTGATCTTTATCAGGAATTCAAGGCAATTCTTTCTTTCCGATGTTGTTAAAGTTACCTCACAAAAACGTTAGACCTTAACCATAGTTGTCAGCTTGTCAATCTTATCTCATTGTACACAACTGACAGCAGTGTGGATGGTTTTATCCGATTTTTGTAGATTTTTATGGAGGTTGTACCATTGTAAAACGTACATTGTGACAGTCTAGATGGCAAAATATTTTTGAAAATGGTCCTAACACAGCTTTGTGAAAACCAATAACATTGGGTGAATAGATTAGGTGAACAATTACTATGATGCAGGCAATTATCTGCGCTGATCCAGCATTCTGCATATGTAATTGCAGTAGTTTAATTGCTGATTCATACTTAATGGTGACTCGATAGAAGTCATGTGACGGAGATCACGTGATAACACCTTTCACTAATTATAGCCCTCAGGATCGCATGGGTCATGGTAATATAAACCGGCCGTAATGTGTATTGAGGTATGTAGTATGTACTAATCGTTAGAGCTTTCGCTGACGTTGAGGTGGAAAAAACAAGCCAATATCGAGTTTTGTAGCCACAATCGCCCCGGAATACTTTCAACATAACACTACTATATAACAAATAATTTGAGGTGACACTCCTGTGGATGGCCCTCAAAGGCCGAAACTAGTTGAGTCTTCAGCAGATCACCCTGGAATACGTCGTATCATTTGTTTGATGACACTTAACTATCATGTACTAATTGTAGTGGTGAACAGTCGCAGCTCGGGCTATGTTTGTATATATATCAGAGATCGCAGTATCTACATTCTACTCTGACTGATTGAATAGCTATTTTCCTGTTGGAACATGCAGGGGGATGCCAAAATACTGCAATTTAAAGCTGAGGTCCCAAGGTAATGAATCATACTAACATAATATTATCATGAATTGGGTCATGCCATGTGAATTTTATATGCTAATCTGCATTCATCACGCTATAAATTCTTCTTGTGTAATGAGTAAGCACGAGAATTTACCTATGATACTAATACTATTAATAATAATTAGAACCCATGGATTCATTTTTTCTGGAATTGCCATTTAGTGACAAATTGGTGCTAGTGCTACCCACCCATGACGGGGTGTTAAACTGTTATAATCATGTAACTTGCGGTTGATCGAACAATTAGCTTCGTAACAATTTGGACCTTAATAGCCCCTAAGCTTATTAAACGACATAACTCATGATGTTAATTTGATCAATAGACACTTTTAATACATTGTTCAAGGTAACTAAATTAATGTTACCGAAGTTCCAATGCCCTGCAAAAAAATCGTTTGATGTGCCCAATATCTTTGCTTCACAATTCCCATGCACAATTAGCCTCAATATTCAATAAATATATAACTATAAATAAAACAACGCCATCTGCATCAATAACACCAGTTTTATGAACTTTTGAGCCCACCATGAAACTTGAAGATTTTGTTAAACCAGATCGTTTCAATTCTCTTGTGACTTGTCGTCCAACTCTGCTACGTCATGTTTTATCACATTTACTCTTTCTCGTCGAAGAAGCTAACACTGGTAGGAAGAAAAAACTTTCGATTGTTGAGTTCTACCGTCCTGTTGCTGTCGACCTGCTTGCTTTGTACGATGTCACAGAAAAGTCCGAAGTTCGTAGAATTTCACCTACTATTACTGGGTAAGTTGCATATTTTTATGTTTTCATATTTGGTGTCAATATACGTACATACTATCCGTTCATAAACTTCATATCCAAGTGATTTTTCCGATTTGTTAATATCTAATCAGTTTCTGTTTAGCGATCATGTCCGATGTGGATAATTGCCAATCGTGACTGATATTCATTATTTGTTCTATATATAATATATACTACTTAATATTTTGTGTTTAAACTTTATATTTCTTGTCAAATTGGTTACGCTGTTTGTAATTTGAAACTATTACAGGAAAATCAGAATCATCAATATAAAACTTCGAGCTCTCTCAGCTTTGACGGCACAGTCTACGATGGACAAGTTCACCGACAGTCTAAATGAACCTTTTGTTGTCCTACCCAAGAAGAAACTTGAAGTTGAAGCCCCTGTGCAAGTTTATCACATCACTCCTGCTCTCAGTGACGTTACTACATCAACATCATTGCAAGTAAGCACGTTTCAATACGAATACAGAATTACAGTACAACAACTGAAAGTCTAACTTGAAGTCGAACATTTTTTGTAAAATCGCATGTAGCACGATGCCTGCAGGCCTGCTCCTGCTGTACAGTGTACGCAGGCGAGTACAGAATTAGTAAATAAGCGCACGGCACAGCGGAGTTTATTTTATATTTATTGGAATCAATGACCATTTTGCAATAACTTAAGCGAATAACGTAAGCTCATTTATCAATGATGCTGTAACTGAATTGTCCTTAGATTTCCTGGCAATTCTGTACGCTTCAACGATCTTCTGTTTCTGTCCAATATTTTGGAAAATCTCGCTAACTGTGTCAATGAGTTCGCTATCGCTCCCTTCTGAAAGACCAAATACAATGACGTTGCGACTGATATCTGGTTCCTCAACAACACGTTTTACTACGCTTTTAAGCGTTTCTGAGCTGATGACTTACTCAGTTGGCCGTGAATTCTTCACGATTGAACGGTACGTTTGTGTTTTAAGTGAGTCAACAACAAATGTCTTAACGGCGTTCTTCAACGTTTCAAGTTGTTCAGTCTTACAGTCCGAAAGCTCCGCCTGAGCTTATCGGATAGCTTTTCGGGTGTTATTTTATCCTAGCGCCACCGGAAATAATATGAACGGGCATAATTTTGAGCGGACATTAAAATAAACGCGACTGCTCAATGGTCTATTTACTTACAATTCAAAACGTTCGCCAAAATGCGAACGGATATTAAAATGAAAGGACATTAAAATGAACTCTAGGGCTTAACTTGTAGCATCTGGCATCTGCAACTTTTAACTTATGTCCGTAAAAATAAAGTCCAATAAGGAAAAATTAGCGTTATTGATCATATTTGTTGTACAACTACAATAAATTTTGCTCAGGGTGCAAAACATGACTTCTATCGAGTCACCATTAACTATTAAGTATGAATCAGCAATTAAACTACTCTACTTACATATGCAGAATGCTGGATCAGCGCAGATAATTGCCTGCATCATAGTAATTGTTCACCTAATCTATTCACCCAATGTAATTGTTATTCTCAAAGCTGTGTTAGAACCATTTTCAAAAATATTTCGCCATCTAGACTGTCACAATGTACGTTTTACAATGATACAACCTCCATAAAATCCACACTCAACCACCACTTAAGCGTTTATCTATGACACACCCCACAACACTTACCATCATCCTTGATTACACATCTTGATTCCACTGGCATCCTCCCACAGGACTGCCATACCCCAGAGGTAGGCAAAGCATTCATATGCTATCCTCTCGTGGGCCAACCAGGCCCAGCCTCTCTTTAAATTATTTATTTAAAAAAAAAAACCTCCATAAAAATCTACAAAAATCGGATAAAACCATCCACACTACAGTGTCAGAAAGTGCACTAATCTGATAGAAAGAATAGCGGCCGAGGGTGCAAAAAATTGCAGTGTGAGATCAATACTGTGATTGCGCACCGCACTTATATATTGCCTCTGGTGTCGAGTAACTTCATGCACTACAATACCGACCTGGCTTTAGCTCGGTAAGATCAGAAGAGAGTATCATTGTATATCTGCACTACAATACTGACCTGGCTTTAGCTCAGTAAGGTCAGAAGAGAGTATCATTGTATATCTGCACTACAATACTGACCTGGCTTTAGCTCAGTAAGGTCAGAAGAGAGTATCATTGTATATCTGCACTACAATACTGACCTGGCTTTAGCTCGGTAAGATCAGAAGAGAGAATCATTGTATATCTTGTTTCACTTCTCTCCGAGTCATCGTTCATAAGCTCCGTCTCGGCTTTCAGGGATATACCGTACAGTCCATCATCTAGATCTGAAGAGTTGCTCTCAATAGGAACCATTGAGAAGTCGTTGATATCTGCAGATATCTGGGATCTACTTCTGTTCAGCGTCTCTTTACCAGTATCTAGCTTCATACTTACCTGTATGATTATACAGTGGGTTTTCTACTTGTCTTGAACCAATAATATTATTTAATATTACATAAGTTGATGTACTGCTTTTACTTTATTCTAGTGAGTAGTGATAACACCGAATATGGTTCGAAAACCATCTGGAGTGATAAAGCACCAGATTAAGCGAAAAACTGAAAATATAGTAAAACTAACCACAGCGTTGGGTATCGGCTCAGTGGAGCAGTTGTGAACTTTCATTTTAATCAGGATCTTGTTTTTTACTCTGATTATATCTTCAAATGCCACGATACACGCCTCATTGTCATCACTTAGTAATTCGTACTGCAAACAGATGATCATTGTTAGTTGTGCTATCCCAAGCGTAAAAATAAGCATAGTGCCTTCATCCATTCTTGAATTGAACAAACTATTGAAGCTTTAGTTTAACCAAAAGTATTTTCATTCAGTAACTAGAGATAAGAAACCGACCTGGAAGAGGGGGTTGAAAGGAACTAGAATTTGATCCTCTCTTTGAGTTCCATTAAACTTCTCCACACATTCCATCAAACGCTCACTGTATCTTTGTCTGTCTGTTTGAGTGATATGGTCCTGTTCTGAGCTCAGATGACAGCATGTCACTAGTTCTCGTTCCAGCAGTTCTGAATAAAGAACGTGGTGTGGATAGGAGACTTAAAAATATTTCTATATTCCAAAGATAATATCAGACATTGCTACTAGTGAGAATAAATGAGGAAAGTTAGGCAGATCACGTGGGTTAGAATAGCCGGGACTAGGAACCGATCGGTCTGGGGTTGGCTGCCGGACCCGAAATGGTCGGTTATCAATCTATTATTCCGATCCCAAACGACGAACTTGAAGTCAATTAGTTTGTTTGCCACTTATCTCGTGCTGTTCAACTATATGTGTGAATGTAATCTGAATATGAGCTGATTGAGACAGTTGATTAATGATCACTACAAGTTGGTGTTTCGCTGACCTCAGACTACATTGTAATTGATAGCACAATTGGAAATGGAATTTGTAGACGAAGGGACAAATTTTTAAAATTTGTGGGACGAACTTGAATTGTTAGAAATGGCATTTGATAAAGAAGTCATAATATGTTTATAAATACTGATTATTGATCAATAGTCATGGACTAGCGAAATTAAATAAGCGGGTTTTCAGATCAAGCAAGTTAAAAATAATAGAATTTATCGCTATCACAGATTCTTAATACAAAAAACATTTAAATATTGTCTGGTATTATTAAAATTAAATTATTACTTAAAGATTAAATTATTACTTAAATTATTACTATTAAAAAAATTACCTTTACGTTTACCAAAACTATACACATACGACAAACAAAAACAACTGAATCTCCACTACAATTCGCCACTGTAGTTCTGAGCACGCTTCATCTGATCCCGTCGGTCCTTAGCTCGTCTGTTCTGGAACCACAAGGCAATAGTCCTGGGAGGTACCCCGGTCTCTTTAGCTATCTCCATCTTTCTGTCTGCCACCGCGAACTCCAACTTATGATACTCCAACTCCAGGTACTCCAGCTGTTCGGCAGTGAACTTGGTTCTGTTCCTTCGGTCAGATTTCAGGGGTCCGGCTCTGGACTGGGTGTGTGAGGGAAGAGAGTAGTGGGACTGGGTGAAGGACAGAGGTTTGGTGGAGGGACTGCTGCAGGGAGGTGGTGATGGACAGGGCGAAATGGAGGTAGACGAGAACGCTGAGCAGTTCACGTTAGGGACCATAGAATCAGCGGAGCAGGGTAACATTGATGCTGACATGTAAGGAGTGGGTATTAGTGAAGACAGACCAGGGAGGGTGGCTAGGTCGGGTAGGTCCGACAAAAGAGAGAGATCGGGAACTAGAGGAAGTTCTCCGAAAGTAGGCAGTCCAGGGAGATGTTGTTCCCAAGATGGTGTCTTCTCAGAACGGGTTCCAGCTAATCTGACAGAGATGTTGTTGTCGGGTGTAGGACGAGAGAGGGAAGACATAAGCTGTCCCAAGGGAAGGTTATAGAGATTGCTCATCTTCATGTCCATGAGAGGCTGGAGAGAAGGCACCATGTCGTACCCGCTCGAAAAGTCCTCGCTGAGATCACCGACAGTGCAGGAGGAAGGAGAACCAGTAGACAGTGGAGGAGAGGGAAGAGGAGAGGTGTAGAACTGAGGTTCAGGACCACTTCCCAGATACTGGTACATTCCAGGGAGGAAGAATGGCTTGCTGGTAGTCTGCATTGTGGTTGTTTGCTAGTTGTTCTGTTAGTGGAATGAGAGTTTGAGAAATGATATTCTGCTATCTGTGTTTTCCACCTTTTATACTGGTAACTGCGGCTGACAAGCACCACGTCTAGTCTGGAATGCTTGTCAGACACATCCGATACGTTATGGTCACAAGACTGGAGACCAGCTCCAATGACCCAGCAGAGTCGGATGTCGCTGGGTATGCGATTGTGACGTCTTGACACGCGATCTCTTACGTGCCGATATGTGATCCGCCACATTTTTCGTCTGGAATGCGATAATATCGACTGTGGTGTTGTGATGTCTGAGTACGTTGTTTATACTGACGTGAAGCAAGCACTGGTCTGATAATGTCATCTGATTCAACTTATTGGTGACGTTGGCTACAAGACACAAAGCGAGACCCAGAATGGCACACCGGCCAGATAAAAACAATAGAAAATGTAAAGAGAAGCTTCAAGTTCAAAATAAAACCATATAAAATATCTAACCGAGATGACGTTGAGTATCACATAGTTTAACTCTGGAGTAAGCAGCCAGCTTGTGCCATCCCTGCGTGTAGTAAGCGTGGCAAACATCTCTGAGGTGGGTCTCTGCGTTTAGGCATTCAGCTTGTATACCTGCGTGAAAAAGAGTTGTTTTCACAGAGTTTGACTTGCGAATTTAATTTATGTTGTTATTAATTTATGGGTAAAGTACTGAGGTAACATGTAGTGTGTAGTAATATTTTTCAAATAGTGCGATTCCACACCTGCCCAAAATGTGTGGCAAATTTAGAGACAAAAAACACCGCAATTAAGCTGAACAATTTGCCAAATTTGGTTAAGTGCTCTCAGGTTGGTTTATTCGATAGTGTAGTATATAACGTTGCCTTAACACGACAATTAATTTACAATGAATCTTGCGTAATGTTTTACGCTGAGTTTCCTAACAATTCAAGATGTATGAACTAGCTGGTGACGAGCATATTTGAAAAAGAGTGTTCAATATTGTAATTATAACTTTACAACAAAAGATTCCAACATATTGAATGAATTTAATGTGGTTATTGGTTTATTTATTATTTCAAGATGTTTATTTATTAATTCAAGATGTATAAATATAAAGGATTACCCTCATAGAATGTTTTACAATTAGATGGGCAAAATGAGCATAAAAGAGGCAGCGGGGCATAGCATTCAATATTATAACTTTACAATATTCCAACAAATTGTGTATATATAAAAACCCCCACAACTCACCCCTATGTCTCAAGTAGAGAGCTTGTCGCATCATGATGAGCTGAGCGTGGTGGGTCCAGGAACCCTGTTTAAACGATACGATGGAGAGTTGACACAGGTCGATATACTGTTTGTGGAAAAATGATTTGTCAGTGAGAATCTTCTGGAGATCAGAGGTGATGCTGGAGCCGGGGCTGGGAAAGGAGGGTCTGGTCTCCGCACTACTTCCGCGCCTGTTACCACTTCTCTTCGCTCCTGGGGGGCGGGTTAATTCAAATGATTGATTTGATTTGAAACTTTCACAAAATAACAAATATACAAATGTACAGCAAACAAACATATAAAATGGGCCGAAATGTATTGAACATTGAACATGGTATATTATCACTATTATCATATTTATAGATAGCCTGTAGAATTTTAAAAGTAAGTAAAAGAATGCTACATGCTAAAACCCGTGGTGCCTGTCGGAACAGCGCCACAAGCTTGTGTACGGAGAAAGGATACGTATAGCTATGTCATTGACTTGTTGGTAACCAATGCTAAGCTAATTTTACTGTGTAGCTGTAAAATTAGATTAGCAAAAAAGACACGTACCAGCCAAGAGATTCTCAATGTCACTCTCTGAAAGTGGGGTCTCAGTCCCCACATGACCCACCAGGACTCCCAGCTGGTACAGCTTCTCTCTTGCTAGGTTGTACAACTGTCCCTTTGCTACTGCTAGTGGTTCTGGCACGTCCTGTGGGAAACAATTAATAGTTGGGGGGGGGGTGACAATTAATAGTTGGGGGGGGGGGGGGGGGGGTGAACAATTAATAGTTGGGGGGGGGGGGGGGGTGAGACAATTAAAAGTTGAGGGGGGGGGGGGGGGGGGGGGCGAGACAATTAATAGTTGGGGGGGGGGGGGGGCCGGGGGTGAGACAATTAAAGTTGAGGGGGGGTGTGACAATTAGTTGGGGGGGGGGGGGGGGGTGAAACAATTAATAGTTGGGGGGGGGGGGGGGGTCGAGACAATTAAAGTTGAGGGGGGGGGGGGGGGGGGCGAGACAATTAATAGTTGGGGGGTGACAATTAATAGTTGGGGGGGAGGTGAAACAATTAATAGTTGGGGGGGGGGGGGGGTGACAATTAATAGTTGGGGGGGGGGGTGTGAAACAATTAATAGTTGGGGGGGGTGAGACAATTAAAAGTTGAGGGGGGGGGGTAAGACAATTAAAAGTTGAGGGGGGTGTGACAATTAATAGTTGGGGGGGGGGGGTGAAACAATTAATAGGTGGGGGAGGTGAATAACACAACTCCGTTTTATCAAAAATCTGTAAAAACTACTTCCCTGAATACAGTATGCCACATTCACTTATGCCAAGTGACTTACTACGTGTATTATACTGCGGTTCATGACAATTCAGAATGTATAAATCTAGAATTATCCTCATAGAAGGTTTTACAATAATTATAAGATTCAATGCTATACTCTATAACTTAACAATATAAGATTGTGTATAGGCGACTAAAGTGACTTAAGTCCAATCTGTTGTGGGGATGCGATTTGCGAAGTGTATTTTTAGGTCAATAGTGCGATTCCGGACTTATATATGTATTTTTTGATTTTATGAGACCCGTGTTTTTTAAACTTTTTGCCTCGATGAGAAGATAAAGTTTTTGAGGAGAGCCGCTCAGACATGGGTACCGTATTGTGTAAATTATTTAGTTATATTTTATACAATATCTTTGTCGCATAGCAGCGGGGTGGTAAAGAGTGTGTGTCGTTTCGTATGCAATATGTCTGTGCCTTACACCGCCGTACGTCATTAATATGATTATACAATATATGTATAATAGGTCACGATTGATGGTAGTCATGTATTCACATCAAAGGCGACCATCCTCGAGTTACGTCGTTTTCAAGTGTACATGACTACCATCAACCTTTCCCACCTTTAGATTGTACACCCGTTTATCGTCGGGTGACTGCAGCTGCATATCACCATTACTGACCTGGAGATTTCATTTTAGAAGTCAGCTAATGCTCACCATATAAAATAACATAGATTACAATTTGTGTTTATAGTGGTATGTGATCTACCTATCTACTAGAATTGTATGTGATTGGGGGAGAAAATTAGTTTAGTTTTGAAATCAAATTCAACGCATCATGATCTATGGTCCTTATCTAAGTGCTTTTTGTCTTATTAGTTATTTTTCTCTCTTTGTTCTGTACCCCGGCCCCGTTAGTGAAAACATTCAAGTTTTCTGCAGAAACAACTATTTCACGAGTGATTGTTTACATTAAATATTCTTCCTCTAAAGCTAGTTAGAAGATTGTAACTATGCCGAAAGACTACGAATTAAAGAAGCCCCCTGTCGATAAAGATGGCCTAAAGAAAGCTGTGGAAGAAGTTTTATCAAGTCGTATGACAGTTCTCCATGCAAGCAAGTATTTTGCCGTCAAAAAATCAACTTTATACAGTCGACTGAGAGGAAGGCTCGTCCAGAAGACTTTCCATCCATCAGACGCGGAGGAGCATTACATTGTTCTACTGTTGCAGTACTACAACGACCTTGGCTGTCACATGGGACAGGAGCAAACCTTGGATTTAATTGAGGAGTATGTTAAAAATCACCGCCCACCCACACCTGTTATAAATCTGAGACCTGATGAGGAGTGGTACCGTAGCTTCAGAGAACGAAACAAGGAAAAACTCACTTTCAGGACGACAGTAAGTAAGAACTAACGTTTTCGAGTTGAATCTTAGGAAATGTAAAACTGGCGACAATTTATTCAAATAATGAAGTTTTAACCGCTGTAAGTGATATAGAACATAGAAATAGGTGTTTTCTTGGGTAAATTTCCCGTTTGATGCGACAAGGAAAAGGCTCTTATCAGGAAAGGAATTATTCAACGTTTCAATGTGACACCATCGTATTCATGATCTAAAAATATCAAACGGGATCAATAGAAATTTACCCAAGAAAACATTTCAACTATACGACTCATAAATAATATTCCAGTCCGGATTTTACATAGAAATAGGTATTGGACACAAAATGTCGAAAGAAACTAAACTGCAATCTCAGTGATGATAATGTAAATTCGGCACAGTAAGTGCTGGAGGAGATAAACCTACTCAAAATTTGTAACAAAACTGGTGGGGTATAGAATGGAAATACTGGATGGGGTCAGTTATATATAACTTGAGCTTCTCTAATTGGGGCTAATTACGTCGTTCTTTATCAATCATGTGACCAGTTAATAGCCTAGTTTATGCTAAGATTGGATGTGTAAAGTGACGTGAGTATCAATTAGCGATCCTAGAATACCTTGTCTTCATGATAAGGTGATCATGTTAATGAGTCGTTCTCTATCAATCATGTAACCAGTTTATGCTGTGTAAAGTGACGTGAGTCTTCTTGATAAGGTGATCATGTAAATGAACAGGTGATATGAGTATCAATTAGCGATCCTAGAATACCGTGTCTTCTTGATGAGGTGATCATGTAAATCTACGGGGTGTTCTAGCATATTATGATATTAAGTTAAGGGTATATGATGACACTATGGCGGAAGTCACGAGGGTAGAGGTCACGAGGGTGAAGGACCCAAGGACGGTGTATGGTTCCATGATTAAGTGAGTCATGTGATCGTCCCTTCACCCTCGTGTCCTACGCCGTCGGTTCCCAATATATAATATTACAGACGTTAACTGAGAATTTGAATATACAATTATATATATTAGGGGTCCTGGGTGATAACATTTTCTGGAAACCTAACTTAAAACCATATCACGATTTCCGTAGAATTTGTGCAATTCTGACTAATGTGAGCAATTCCAGGGTTATACAAAAAGAGGGAATGCCAAATCAGCTTCGATTGAAAAATTTTACGACAATTTTTGGGAACCTCACTTTGACTCATATCTGTAACCTTTCAAATTTCTGTGTAATTCTGATCACAATCATGCGAGTTATTAGATGGTTGTATGTGGGCAGTTTCTTCTGGTAAGTACGTATGTGATTAAGACGTACGTATGTGATAAGGTCCTTATGGACCAGCAACTCTGCACTTATTACATATGCTGGCTAGAGGGGGTTGGCAGTCTCCCAGCAATAGCAAACCTGTGTGTAATTTGTTTATCTTACTTATAATTCAAAGAATTGTTTTTGTTTGCACTACCGCCCACGTACAAACTAGATGAGAAATAGGTAGTTGCATAGTAACCTATGGTAACGCGGTTGAAACGTACGTACGTACAATGATTGTTTTAACGTCATTTTGATCGGTTTTGTGGTAATTACGTTGTGTTCAGACTTCAGTGCAAGCAACATTTTAATGGGCTGTATACTCGGTTGTGACGGATATTTTTTGATGCTATAATTATGAAAACTGACTACCAAAGAATACTATTACCTTCCTCCCTGTGATCACGGGCTTTCTAGTAATGTAATAAGAAATCCTATATATTTCATTAACTTTTACCCATACCTGTAACCTCTGAAATGTTTGTGTAATTCTGAACCTACTTAAATTAGGTAAATTTCAAGGTATTTAAGGGTTGCGTGTGGGCAGTCTCTTCTGGCCCATCCTGTATGTTATTTTTGTCTGAACTTGCACGCATGTTATGTGTTAATGTCGTAGGGACTTGGTAGCCCCTATTACATATATTGCATTAATTAACATACTAAAATATAATCAATCTCCACTAGAGTTTCGTTGTAATTGCGAGTTTCGTTGTAATCGACAAGTTTTTGAAATTTGACAACGTTTGTAAGCTTAGAGAGTGCCTACACTACTTACAGAGAGCCTACACTACTTACAAAGTGCCTTAATATGGCTTAATGTTCTCCGAAACAACTTTAGCTTAGAAAACAAAAGCTCGGTTCCGGTCTGGCAAACATTAAAATATTGGAAGATGTGTAATGTGATACGTGCCCATGATACAATATAATGTGTAATATACAGTGCGCCATCGTTATTTGTTAACCCCAGACGGCAGACCGTACGTTCCTTTGGCGATTGGCCCAATCTTCTTCTATGAGACATCTATTTGTGTATATGATTAACTTTGTTATTGTTACCAACTTGACCACATACAAAAATTTCCTTCCAGATACAAAGTTTCTTCTTTCTATGGCCAACTCGTTTATTATATTTATATGCGAGTTTTTATTTTCAATGAGGCTGCTTTATTTTATTTTATTACAGTTCATGTAGTTCTTCGTCTGTCTCACAAATTATTTAGTCATAGTAATATAAAGGCATAAAACTGCTACATTTCCTGACAAATCACATAGCCTTTTAATAGTTTTATTATTAACAGGTATCAACAAAAAAAGTCGTTAAATAATCCTACTCTTAAACCTACCATGTTGTTGAGGGGTGAACTCTTCTTTACAGCCTCAAGTAGCTCAATACATCCGATATAAACCCACACTACCAGTGCTCCTTCGGGGTACTTGGACTGGGGGAGGTAACTGGGTTACTGGGGGAGGTAACTGGGTTATTGGGAGAGGTAACTGGGTTATTGGGGAGGTAACTGGGTTATTGGGGGAGGTAACTGGGTTATTGGGGGAGGTAACTGGGTGACTGGGGGAGGTAACTGGGTTACTGGGGGAGGTAACTGGGTTACTGGGGGAGGTAAATGGGTTATTGGGGGAGGTAACTGGGTTATTGGGGGAGTTAACTGGGTTATTGGGAGAGGTAACTGGGTTATTGGGGGACCAGAGGTAATGGGGTTATTGGAACGTTAAACTAGGTACATATTTGATTAAGTGTGTTAAATTGAGTACTGCACCTTCAAGAGCCTATTTTTTATCAAATCCTTTAAACTATATCTTTTGCCATTACATGGAAATTGTTGGCAAACGTCAATGATTTAAATTTTGAGCAGTGGTAAGTAAAATGTTGAGTGGGTATGTTTTCACCTTGAGAAGTTTACATTCTTGAACAGTTTGCAGGAGAAAGTTGAGCCCCTTCTTCGCGAGATCTCGTGGGTTTTGAAGTGCAGAGAGTTGATGTGCTATCCTGCGGGAGTACCAGTAACCACCAGTAATAGCAGATATAAAACAGATCTTTTCTCAACATTTAGAGTTTAAAAGTTTGAAAAGTTAGAGCTAAGCCCGCAACAGTGTTTATCATCGTTAAGTTATAAGTGTGTGTAGTAAAAAGAGTCTGTTGAAACCTGACCTACGTTATTGACTTACTCAGTACAGCAATTATATAGTGCACTTATTATAATTAGGGATCATCTTACTCCAACAACTACCATAAAATGTACCGAAATTCCCCTAAAATGTACCGAAATTCCTCTAAAATTCCTCTAACATGACACTCACAACTTCGTCCACAAAACGTACCAACTGAACAGTAAACCAACCGTCTAAATATAAGGGAGCAGAGCTGCAGAGAGTTGAATTGCTGCAAGGCCAGGTCCTTGACGCTCACATCATCATTGAGACACAGCCCAGCCCAGGAGGATATATCCCTCTCAATGAACTCCTCTATCCAGGGTGCTATCTGACATTGTCTCAGATTAGAGACGTACTGTCGGAAAAGGGAGAGGACTTCTTCGCTGCTTCGGTACGCTTCTTCGTACAGACCTGGGGCAGGGGTTATGGTTACCTTCTTCGTACAGACCTGGGGCAGGGGTTAGGGTTAGCTTCTTCGTACAGACCTGGAGCAGGGGTTAGGGTTAGCTTCTTCGTACAGACCTGGGGCAGGGGTTTGGGTTAGCTTCTTCGTACAGACCTGGGGCAGGGGTTAAGGTTAGCTTCTTCGTACAGACCTGGGGCAGGGGTTAGGGTTAGCTTCTTCGCACAGACCTGGGGCAGGGGTTAGGGTTAGCTTCTTCGTACAGACCTGGGGCAGGGGTTAGGGTTAGCTTCTTCGTACAGACCTGGGGCAGGGGTTAGGGTTAGCTTCTTCGTACAGACCTGGGGCAGGGGTTTGGGTTAGCTTCTTCGTACAGACCTGGGGCAGGGGTTAGGGTTAGCTTCTTCGTACAGACCTGGAGCAGGGGTTATGGTTAGCTTCTTCGTACAGACCAGGGGCAGGGGTTAGGGTTAGCTTCTTCGTACAGACCTGGGGCAGGGGGTAGGGTTAGATTCTTCGTACAGACCTGGAGCAGGGGTTAGGGTTAGCTTCTTCGTACAGACCTGGGGCGGGGGTTAGGGTTAGCTTCTTCGTACAGACCTGGGGCAGGGGTTAGGGTTAGCTTCTTCGTACAGACCTGGGGCGGGGGTTAGGGTTAGCTTCTTCGTACAGACCTGGGGCAGGGGTTAGGGTTAGCTTCTTCGTACAGACCTGGGGCAGGGGTTAGGGTTAGCTTCTTCGTACAGACCTGGGGCAGGGGTTAGCTGGTTAGGGTTAGCTTCTTCGCACAGACCTGGGGCAGGGGTTAGGGTTAACTTCTTCGTACAGACCTGGGGCAGGGGTTAGGGTTAGCTTCTTCGTACAGACCTGGGGCAGAGGTTAGGGTTAGCTTCTTCGTACAGACCTGGGACAGGGGTTAGGGTTAGCTTCTTCGCACAGACCTGGGGCAGGGGTTTGGGTTAGCTTCTTCGTACAGACCTGGGGCAGGGGTTAGGGTTAGCTTCTTCGTACAGACCTGGGGCAGGGGTTAGGGTTAGCTTCTTCGCACAGACCTGGGGCAGGGGTTAGGGTTAACTTCTTCGTACAGACCTGGGGCAGGGGTTAAGGTTAGCTTATTCGCACAGACCTTGGGCAGGGGTTACGGTTAGCTTCTTCGTACAGACCTGGGGCGGGGGTTAGGGTTAGCTTCTTCGTACAGACCTGGGGCGGGGGTTAGGGTTAGCTTCTTCGTACAGACCTGGGGCAGGGGTTAGGGTTAGCTTCTTCGTACAGACCTGGGGCAGGGGTTAGGGTTAGCTTCTTCGTACAGACCTGGGGCAGGGGTTAGCTGGTTAGGGTTAGCTTCTTCGCACAGACCTGGGGCAGGGGTTAGGGTTAACTTCTTCGTACAGACCTGGGGCAGGGGTTAGCTGGTTAGGGTTAGCTTCTTCGCACAGACCTGGGGCAGGGGTTAGGGTTAACTTCTTCGTACAGACCTGGGACAGGGGTTAGGGTTAGCTTCTTCGCACAGACCTGGGGCAGGGGTTAGGGTTAGCTTCTTCGTACAGACCTGGGGCAGGGGTTAGGGTTAGCTTCTTCGTACAGACCTGGGGCAGGGGTTAGGGTTAGCTTCTTCGTACAGACCTGGGGCAGGGGGTAGGGTTAGCTTCTTCGCACAGACCTGGGGCAGGGGTTAGGGTTAGCGTCTCGGAGATGGTTCAGGAGATATAGATATGACTTAACTTGTTATGTAATGTTTCCTTTCAAATTGTGAATCGGGAGGCGGTTTAAAAATAATCTTTCAAGGAAATTCTCGGAAATGCAATCCTCTTCTTCTGATAGTCTGCTTCTAATAATCTGCAATCGGCATGTAACTAATTGGATTTGCTAATAATACATGTAATAATATGTGCTACAATGCTATACATTATAATGCCACAATCCTATGATTATAAATATATAGATACCATTATTCAATGTTATATATTGTTACTCATCGGCTTTTGTATTATTATTTGCTGGACTTTTGACTTTTACCTGTGAGTTCGTATAGTAGACAGAGCTGTTCTTTTGCAGAAATGTAGTTGTATAAGTTGAAATCTTCTTCCTGGGTAATGTTATTATTACATTATGTTAATTGTTATAATTATGTTATAAGAGTATTCACATTATGCTAAGGAGTACTAACATTTATGTTATTAGTCATTAACTTATTTGAACAATACACTACTCCGCCGATAAGGGTCTTTCAGGTTTAGTAGAGCACGTGAGCTCTGAGCAGAGTGTAGCATCTACTCTATACCAAAACGTGCTGTGTTCATTAACACACATTTAATTTAGAATAGAGCCCGATATTCACAATTAATTAGACATAATTAATTAAACAATAGACATAAATAATTAATTAGATTCAGAGCCAATGGTAAGACCGTGTTAACTTATTCTGCAGGGCATTTCTTACTCGCTTAGTTGAGTGTGTCCCCGGGGGGGGGGGGGGGGGGGGGGGGGGCCGTGTGTCCCACAACAAATGCACATTGTATAGACGTCCAGTATTATATATTATGATCCTATGCGGCAAGTTTATTAAACAAATCTGCAGGGCAGCCAGTGGGAGTAGTAATTATTCTTAAGTTGACTGCCAAAATACTCCATCCAGTAATAATGGGTGTTGTAATTAACGAGTTTAGATGCCACCAGATGGAGTTCTATTGATTTTAGTGACTGCCTTATTATTGCATACGCCCCGATTTAATTTCTTTTATTTTGAACTAACTTTTTAATACCTGAACCAATCTCAATTCATGAGATTTTCAAAAGCGAAAGTTGTGAAACATTTACTGTACATTGTATAATATTGTAAACATCTATACAGTATAAAACATCTTTAAAGTAAACATTTAATATCTATACAGTAAATATATATAATCTATATTCTATATTGTGTTCTTTAACTGTCTATTGAGACCTCCCCACTGAAAAGCATCATTATAGAGTCTGAAAAGCAATTAACGTAGGGGCCCTCAGACCAGGTGTACATGGAGACTACACCACATTACACCACATGTACCCCTCAGTATTAACACAGGATACTAGTGAGGTTACTGTATACTAACTCACATCTGGGAAAACTACCACTATACTGTGTGGCTATGCAATGTGGACTTTGAGCACTTTGCATGACGTGTACTTTATATTATTTGAATTGGTCAGGAATCATGGCTCTGGAAATTAGCTGAACGTTTCCGTAGGAAGAGCTACGTTTCCGTTTTTTGCTTGTCAACCATTATTTCTTGTAATCAGTGTAGTTTCTTTATCTTGCAGGTGTCAATATTTTGATGTCATTAATATTTAAAATAAACCATTGTTCCGTTTTTAAAAGCTTTCATGGTTCCTTTCTTGCTAACTACAACAACAACAACAATATGGCGAACCTAGCAAGCTAGGAACGAGGGGCCGATTTCCTTTTCGTGTAGCGTTCGGCCACGGTCCTTTCGGTACAGATTTCCCTGCAGCATAGTCGGGACGCTGGCCCAAGCAAAAACTAGTTCTTGCTAACTAAACGATATCATTTATTAAAAATAAACACTTTTGGTCAGACTTCGTAAGCTGGGATCTATAATATAAGTTTTCGGGAGGTAATATCAATAACGGCTGTTATGTTTGCTGTATTTATCCATTGTTGTAAGTGATAAATTAGACTCAGCTACACCAAAATAGTAATAATCACAATATTATAGAATATACAGGGTGGGCCAAAAGTCAGTGTGCAAACGTTGGCCTTAATAGCTCAGTCACTGAGTGCCCGATTGAAATACTTTCTTCTGGTATGACTTAGTACCACCACTGGTTCGAGGAATTTGTCAACTCGAAAAATATTCGCGTTCATTTTTTTCAAATGGAGGTTCATTTTCACATTTATTTGATAGTTTGGATAGTCGGATCAAGCTAAATTATATTGAATTGTGTTTGGCCATTCGAATTACGTTTGTCCTGAAAAAATTAGAACTGTAGCTTCTCAGATGACCGAGATATGAAGCATAACGAGTTTATTCATTACGTGTGATCAGGTGATTGGTTTACCTAATCACGTGATAAGGTGACCCCGTTAACTACCCCGTTAAACATTATGGGAATTGTTAAGGGTGCCCAATTAAGGTGTCGTGTCACGGTGTCACATAATAGTAGTATATGATGCATTTTTCAATAGCCATTTTGGGAAAAAGTGGGGCACACATAATGAAAGTACCTTACTCGGGATTATTATAACCGGGATAAAGTGGTGGGTTTTGGAAGATTCCGCCATATTTTTCCCGGTCAAAAATTTTACCAGTCATAAAAAAACCCGCCGACTCAGATTATGGGGTTCCAAGGGGGTGGTGATTATTATAATACCTTCCGGGAATTATATCCACTAAAACTCGGGGACACCGAGGGCTGATAATTTGCTCATTATTCCCGCAAGAGAAGCGAGGGTATTATCAGCCCAGACTCAGACTGGCTGGCGGCAAGTTTCAAAACAAATAACACTGGCGTTCTATATATTAGACACTATATTGTATGATGCGCACGTATCGGATTACACCCCTTCTGCAATCGGAACCGGAACGTATTATAAAATATAATACCTCCGCAACTTCGTGCCCGCAAATTCCCTCCAGCAAGCTGTCGGGAATTATAGCGCGCAGCACTCAGTGGCGGAGGTATTATAGTATTATATTTTACCTGAAGTCTCATATGTGCTAGAGAAGACTTTTGAAGCAGTGGATGGAGGGCTGTAACTTTATTGGCGGTTGCTACCATAATTTCGTTATAAAAATCACAATTTGGTTATAGAAATCAGATTTCAGGGTGGACCGTGATTCTCACTTTTCTTGCCCATGAAGTGAGTAAACTGTGCCACTATTTCATGGTCCACGGTGGATTGATTACTGGAGCAGTTGAAGATGCAAAGCCAAGACGTTCCCCAATACCAAGCGGTGGGCAGGAAATTAAGCTCCGGTGAGTCCGGCTGACCTTCAGAGCAGTAGCCCCATTAGCGGACAAAATGAAAGTCTTGTTAAGACAACAATACAACTTCGAATTTGACGGTCTGCAGCAGCAGGGGGATATCAATAATGATAATGGAGGGGACATTAGCGATAATGAGAATGAGAATACGCTTTAATGAAGATTTGACTTATTATTGCTATAGATTTATTTTCCTTTAAATACTAGACGTGTCTTTTTTTCTATTTCTGAGTAATATCAGTAACTGTAAATTGAAATAACTTCTTTAACAAGTAACAAAAACAGAAATTTCGGTTGAAAATTTGTTGACCTCTCAAAAAAAACTTGAAAGGTCGGCCACCGGTAAATACATGACCGGGATAATTTGGCGGGTTTTGGGAAATTCCGCCATATTTTTCCCGGTTATTAATTTTCCCAGTCATAAATTAACCCGCTATAATATTCCCGAGTAAGGTAAGCATATTACGTAATGTTACCGGCGGCGTCCTTGTAACTTGTGTGATATCATGTTCCATGTGGAAGCTATATTGGATGTAACTTGATTATTACGTCATGTTCATTGCTCACAGTACTTTTGTGATCTTATCTTGTCTCGATCTTACCAGATTAGAGCGGGCCACAGTTAAGTTATAATGTGCCATTATTAATGACGGGTATTATTATTAATGACGGGGATTATTATTAATAATGGGTATTATTAATAATGACGGGTATTATTAATAATGACGGGTATTATTAATAATGACGGGTATTATTATCAATGACGGGTATTATTATTAAGACGGGTATCATTATTAATGACGGGATTATTATTATTAATGACGGTATCATTATTATTAATAATGACGGGTATTATTATTAATGACGGGTATTATTATTAATGACGGGTATTATTATTATTAATGACGGGTATTATTATTAATGACGGTATTATTAATAATGACGGGTATTATTATCAATGACGGGTATTATTATTAAGACGGGTATTATTATTAATGACGAATATTATTATTAATGACGGATATTATTATTAATGACGGGTATTATTATTAATGACAGGTATTATTATTAATGAATGGTATTATTATTATTAATGACGGGTATTATTATTATTAATGACGGGTATTATTATTAATGACGGTATTGTTAATAATGACGGTATTGTTAATAATGACGGTATTGTTAATAATGACGGGTATTTTTATAAATGACGAGTATTATTATTATTAATGACGGTATCATTATTATTAATAATGACGGGTATTATTATTAATGACGGGTATCATTATTAATGACGGTATTGTTAATAATGACGGGTATTGTTAATAATGACGGGTATTATTGTAAATGACGGGTATTATTATTATTAATGGCGGGTATTATTGTACAAGTCACAAATAATAATAATAATAATACCCGTCACTAAAAATAATAATACCCGTCATTAACAATAATACCCGTCATTATTAACAATACCGTCATTAATAATAATACCCGTCATTAATAATGATACCCGTCATTAATAATATTACCCTATTATTAATGACGGTATTGTTAATAATGACGGGTATTTTTTATAAATGACGGGTATTATTGTTAATGACGGGTATTATTATTATTAATGACGGGTATTATTATTTTAGTGACGGTTATTATTATTAATGACGGGTATTATTGTTAATGACGGGTATTATTATTAATGACGGGTATTATAATTAATGACGGGTACTATTATTAATGACGGTATTGTTAATAATGACGGGTATTATTATTAATGACGGGTATTATTGTTAATGACGGGAATTATTATTTTTAGTGACGGTTATTATTATTATTATTATTTGTGACTTGTACAATAATACCCGTCATTAATAATAATAATACCCGTCATTAATAATAATAATACCCGTCATTAACAATAATACCCGTCATTATTAACAATACCGTCATTAATAATGATGCCCGTCATTAATAATAATACCCGTCATTATTAATAATAATGATACCGTCATTAATAATAATAATACCCGTCATTAATAATGATACCCGTCATTAACAATAATACCCGTCATTAATAATAATAATACCCGTCACTAAAATAATAATACCCGTCATTAATAATAATAATACCCGTCATTAACAATAATACCCGTCATTTATAAAAATACCCGTCATTATTAACAATACCGTCATTAATAATAATACCCGTCATTAATAATAATAATACCCGTCATTAATAATAATAATACCATTCATTAATAATAATACCCGTCATTATTAATAATACCGTCATTAATAATAATACCCGTCATTAATAATAATAATACCCGTCATTGATAATAATACCCGTCATTAATAATAATACCCGTCATTAATAATAATACCCGTCATTATTAATAATAATGATACCGTCATTAATAATAATAATACCCGTCATTGATAATAATACCCGTCATTATTAATAATACCCATTATTAATAATAATAATAATACCCGTCATTAATAATAATACCCATCATTAATAATGGCACATTATAACTTAACTGTGGCCCGCTCTAATCTGGTAAGATCGAGACAAGATAAGATCACAAAAGTACTGTGAGCAATGAACATGACATAATAATCAAGTTACATCCAATATAGCTTCCACATGGAACATGATATCACACAAGTTACAAGGACGCCGCCGGTAACATTACGTAATATGCTTACTTTCATTATGTGTGCCCCACTTTTTCCCAAAATGGCTATTGAAAAATGCATCATATACTACTCATAATCACCCAGTCAATTTTGTTAACGAGATACACAAAATGCTTGATAACTTCGTCATTTCTAATCCGTTTTGCCTCATGTTTTCAGATCATATGCAACATTTGATAATCTACCGTCTCTGAAAAAATTAGGCGTTCAGCATGTTCAGAGAAAACAATATAGGTGTTTTAATATTGAATGGGCGTGGTCTAAAATATTCGAATTTTCAAATTTTGACGACGGAATCCTCGAACCAGTAAGTACAGTATGCCATCTGCAAAGCAACAGCTCTCAAATATAAAACACGGCGGAGGTATAAGACCCAACGTTTGCACACTGACTTTTGGCCCACCCTGTATTTGTAGTCAGCGCCATTCAGTTACTACAACACTACCCAAACTACACTGTATATTTTATATCATAATATACTATAATTGAGACGGTTACTGTACTCGTTCTACATTTATTTTGAAACTGTATAGGAAGCATTAAAAAAGCGAAAGCAAAACTTGGAAAATATAAGGATTCCTAAGGACTCACTCCACACAATATATTGTTTTCCTTATCTTCCAACATGATTACATTGACCACCCTTAGTTGTGCGTTGTACAATATTAGTTTGTTACTTTTCTTATTTCTAGTGCTCAGGTTCGATCACAATACACGTTTTAATAGCAATTTGATGCCACTTTTATTTAAGTGCAGTTGCAATTAATATAGCAATATGTTGTATGATCATATAGATTGGGGGGGGGGGGGGGGGGGGGGGGGGGGGATTTGAGAAAAGTGGGAGGTAAAATAGTGATTTTTCAAAGTTTGTATCAAATCACGTGATATTGTTAGTGTAATTAAATGAACAATTTGTTGATTATTAGCCAATAACCAGGCATGCAACAGAAAAAGCAACATAAGTTAGAAGATCGCATAACAATGAACATGGTTAAACAGGCGGACGGAAACAGAGAGTTCCATCAGATACTACAGGACGTAACACATCTCAAGCGAGACGTGGCCAGTATTTCAGAGGTGAGTTTTTTTAAATGTTGTTTATATTCAGAGAGTTTTTTATGTTTTCATTTTCAATGTACTCGCAATGTGTTACCGACTGTGGATGTGACTTAGTTTAGAAGTATGGGGTGAACTTGGTACGAACATAATATGAGATAAAGTATAAGTGATATGAGTAAAGATATTAGCCACGATACCCCTCCTAAAAGTGGGACACCTGTTTTGGTGAAGAGGTTTTCAAAGATAAAATACGGTGCAATCTATCATCTTACTAAATATAAAGCGAGACGATATATATATATATATTTATCTGTGCCATTTTACTGACACCACGGCATCAACTTTAACGCCAATTTCTGCAAAAACCGTCAAAGATATACAACTGAAACTTTTTTGACTGGGTCAAATGCTTTAATGGCCTCCAAATCAGCATGAAAAAATAAAAAATTGGCCAAGAAATAGGAGTTTTAGAGCCCAAAATTTGGTACCCCAAGTGGTGTCAAAAACGCGAATTAAATAGGTAATAATTGTTTTAGTCTCTTGAGTCTTGACACCATTTTAGGGTTAGACGGGGTCCTGCTAGTTAACCTTAAGTAAGTAATCTCTCTTCACGGCAGGGAATGAAAAACGACAACGGATCTTATGAAAAAGTCACGATGACTTCACCTGATCCAATTGCAGAAGATAACAAGAGACACAAAAGCCTGATATTTGAGGTTAGAGTCAACTTAAGTAATAATACATATTCGATACTATAAGATAGTAAAGTGCCCTCAGCCTCCATACTCCTTTTTTAACCATCTGCAGATCATACCTGGATCTTTTAAGTTATCATCGATAACTAAATTGATAAACAATTATAAACGAGTTTTGAGATTTTTATGACATTTATTCTCAGGAGCAAACTTGTGTTGTCCCCTTCTTCATAGACGATCCAGAAACTATGGTGGATACCGAGAATGTAAAAAGCATTTCAGGAGAAATGCTAAATCATTACAGCATTATGCTTCAAGACAACAAGGAATTGCGGAAAGCATCAGGATATAATACAACCTATTCGGACCTGTGTGCAGTGCTATCTTCCGAAACAAGCGGTCCTCAGGAAATTATTACGGAACTAGAGACTTCAGATGATGTGGCGGAGTCAAAGTCAAGCCAAGAAAAGGAGAAACGAAAAGACAATTTTGAGTGCACATTTTGCGGAGAAGAGTTCGATTTAGGCGACCTTTACCGCACACATGTAATAGAGGAGCATTATAACAAGAGCATAGGGACATTCTGGGAGCAGCGATGTTTTCAAAGCAACAATGGTTCAGGTTGAAGTGTAGAATCATAACCTGATCATAGACTGATCATAAACTGATCATGAATTGATTTATTCAGAGTGGTTTCACAAAATTGAAGTATATGCTCGCTTTGAATGCGGGATATCCATCCCAATTCCCAGTATGGAGTGGTTTCAAACTGGTATGATTGTATATGAAGATTGATGAGTGTTGAAACCAAATTATTTTTAATGACGATTAATCATTTCTGGTTTTTTAGTAATATTTAAATGGAAAGTTTGTCATTTTATTCGCGTTTATATTGACATGACAAGCGATATTTCTTATTATCTTAATCGATTTATTTCACGTTTCTTATCAGTACCAAAAGCTGTATCGATTAAGATAATAAGAAATATCGCTTGAAATCGCCATACCTTCATAAATTATTGCTTGCATTAAGAAAGTATATCATAATTATTAACCAACGAGTTAAACAAATTATTTGAAAATAAGTAACAAAAGAGGAAAGTTACCAGCTTACCTCGTGAGTGTAACAAAAGAAGAAAATTACCTCGTGAGTGTCCCGTATCTGGTTAACCCCTTTCTCCATCACCGCTAATTTCATCGTCACTGACTTGATGATAGAGTCTCTGATTTTACCCACCGCTATCAGCCACGACTGAAATCATTAGCATTTCGTGTCCCGTTTTGAAAAACGTCGTGAAGAAAAATGGAATGCAATATTAAAGACAGTTTTAATTGCCATTTTAACAATGCGTTTCACATAGACTCATAGATGTCACATAAAATCAAAAATTTTGAATAACGTTTGACGACTTTGATCAAACTGCGCGTTACCTGCGAGGATGCGATGCTATTTGACTCTGCTTTGAACATGATCGTTTTGTCCGCTTTTTGAGAACCAAAATCATTTCTTATTCGTTCGGACATGGAGGTTCTGGTTACAGAAAACTTGTGGAGTATGGCCGCTTTGTCCTGCGCCGTGAATATCATAAGTTAATCACTTAGGAGGCGTTCACATATTATTACGTTATCAATTTTTTGACCATTTTTAACCCCCCCCCCCCTCCCCCGGGGGCCCCCTCCGTAATCACTATCAGTTTAACACATAGCTATTGTGTCAAAATTACACTAGCGTTATCATTTGGAAACCCCCCTCGACTTAGGAACATCTGAATCAAATTTGAAAAAAGAAACAGCTTTTAGTTTATTCGACTACTTGGTCTCCCCTAATTTATGAAGTGCATCTTGAGAGTACTATAACCTAGTTATCAATTATCATCCAATAAAAATAAATGTAGATTAATTAACAAGTGTTTAACCTGAAAGGTAGCGTGGACGACAAGGAAGTTGTTACAGTTATACTGTTGGAGTCTATCAAACCACAGGGTTAGCTGTTCTTTAACGTGGTTCCTGAGATATCCAAATATTGTTAGACTACTTAGTAACCACTTAGTAACCACTTAGTAACCACTCAGTAACCACTTAGTAACCACTTGGTAACTATTTAGTAACTACTTAGTAACTACTTAGTAACCACTTAGTAATCACTCAGTAACCACTTGGTAACTACTTAGTAACTACTGAGTAACTACTTAGTAACCACTTATTAACCACTTAGTAACTACTTAGTAACCACGTAGTAACTACTTAGTAACCACTTAGTAACCACTTAGACTCTGTAAAAATCCTTGATAATGTAGTCACCAGTAACGTGGGAGCCTTAAACACTGACCTAAAGTTACACAATCACAGAATCTGTACCAACACTGTAACAGTAACCACTTCGTAACCACTTAGTAACTACTCAGTAACTACTTAGTAACTACTTCTAAGTAACTACTTAGTTACTACTTAGTAACCACTTAGTAACTACTTCTAAGTAACTACTTAGTAACTGCTTAGTAACTAATTTTAAACTAATTACAAATCTATTACATTTATTGAGGAGGTTCTCTAAAGATGATATTTTATTCGCAAGATTTCAAGAGCCTAAACTGTGTGCGATTCGCCTCTCCAAACAAATCAATAGTAACTACTTATTAACTGATAAGCGACGATATTACGAGGTGTTAAGGCACACTCAGACTTCAGTAAGTTCAACTGATTTTGTCACTTTGTAGCTGTACTACGGCGCGCCAGGCTACCACTAGATAATAACAGTACTATTTCAACTTATCATTAAGTATTATTACTTATTATATCAACTACTATTTTAGTACTTAGTATGTAGACTTAGTGACAGGGGCGGATCCATGTCTTAAATTCCGCACACTTTTAATTCTTCCTTAAAGTTTCTGTTCAAATTTGTCACTTTTGTATTGAATAGATTAATTGTACAGAATGTGATAAGAAAACAGGTTGGTTTAAAACATGGGCAGCAAACAAATTAATATGATGAAATAGATAACATTACGAACAAGATATCTCAAACGTCACAATATACAGGGTGGGCCAAAAGTCAGTGTGCAAACGTTGGCCTTAATAGCTCAGTCACTGAGTGCCCAATTGAAATACTTTCTTCTGGTATGACTTAGTACCACCACTGGTTCGAGGAATTTGTCAACTCGAAAAATATTCGCGTTCATTTTTTTCAAATGGAGGTTCATTTTCACATTTATTTGATAGTTTGGATAGTCGGATCAAGCTAAATTATATTGAATTGTGTTTGGCCATTCGAATTACGTTTGTCCTGAAAAAATTAGAACTGTAGCTTCTCAGATGACCGAGATATGAAGCATAACGAGTTTATTCATTACGTGTGATCAGGTGATTGGTTTACCTAATCACGTGATAAGGTGACCCCGTTAACTACCCCGTTAAACATTATGGGAATTGTTAAGGGTGCCCAATTAAGGTGTCGTGTCACGGTGTCACATAATCACCCAGTCAATTTTGTTAACGAGATACACAAAATGCTTGATAACTTCGTCATTTCTAATCCGTTTTGCCTCATGTTTTCAGATCATATGCAACATTTGATAATCTACCGTCTCTGAAAAAATTAGGCGTTCAGCATGTTCAGAGAAAACAATATAGGTGTTTTAATATTGAATGGGCGTGGTCTAAAATATTCGAATTTTCAAATTTTGACGACGGAATCCTCGAACCAGTAAGTACAGTATGCCATCTGCAAAGCAACAGCTCTCAAATATAAAACACGGCGGAGGTATAAGACCCAACGTTTGCACACTGACTTTTGGCCCACCCTGTATGTAGAAGAGAACCTTGCTTTTTTCAGAGGAGAACAGGCACGATTTCTCTCTGCATTCTGCCACTGTCATTGTCAAAATAAGTTATAAAGAATCGTCAAAAATTATATAGATAACGTTTCTATCAGCTCCTTCACTTACATATAATTTGCATTTCCTAATCATTTCGACCATTATAACCATTCTTTGCCCCGGAGTTAGCTTTTATCAGTACAATCTCATCCAATATGCTCTGACCATTGATCACGTTCACATAGTCCGGTTCAGTGCTGTTGCTGTTGCTGGAGTAAAACCCTGACTCGCCGTTAGTAAGATCTGATTTCTGTTCGCTTAGATCCCCATTTATAGCACCTCTGAACCCCACCTGTATCTGAGTCTCTTCTTCTTCAGTGTCATCACGGAACTCATCTTCTTCTGAGATCCCGGATAGAGGTCCTGTGGTGTAACACTTCATCTCAAAGGAGTCCTGGTAACATGTGATCTCCTCGCCGTCGTACTCTTGCGGTTTGGTCCAGTCGAGAGACTCCGGGGGCTCAATTATCTGTGGTAGAGCCTGAACAGGTATAGTGGGTAGGGCAGGTAGAGTGGAGGGGTCAACAGTTTGCTCTTCAGGTTCACTTTCCTCTTCTTCTGAAGTGATATCGTCTCTTTCGGCAAATGTTTCTGATTTGCTAGAAAGCTCAGATGCTTCCCTTTCAGGAATGACTTGAGAATTGAGCTTGACTCGTTCGGGGAAACTATTAGGAGTGCTTGGAGGAACTCGAATGTTATCAGCCAAAACATCATCTGTAATATCCTGGTCAGATCCAGAGTCCTCGGTAACTGGAATTTGTTCGATCACGTCGTCCCAGTACATAGACGGCGACTCCACATAACTGACGGCGACTCCTTCGGGCGTGCAGACTAACTCTTGTGGGGAGAGAGCGAGGTCACAGTGCCGACAGGAAGTGTGCTCGTTCTGCAGCAGCTGCTGACCATCCCCCTCCATCTCCATGCAGTGCAAGGAGTGGTCCATATTGTGACCTTCATAATGATGCTTTCCAGTTTCGATGTCTTCTGACTGATGATCATCCTTCTCAAAGTTCATAGCTCCTTCTCTGCCACTGAATATGTAAGCCACTGTGGTTGCGAAGGCTCTGATGGAGTAGACCGCCACTTTGCAAGGCAGGGGAATGTCAGAATAGTAAAGGAACATCTCTGAGAGGAGGACAGTGAACTGGGCTATAAGAATCCATCTGACGGTACTGAAGGCATCGGCAAAATGTTTTAGGATTATCAGCAGAATACTTAGTGGCATGAGCGCAAACAACAGGTGACTGCTGGCCTGGGAAAAATACATGGCCAGACAAAAGTCCGTTGAGTTTTTATTGATAATAGTCTGAATGGTAACGAGGAACTTTATTAGTAAAAGAATCCCTGTAAACGTTATGTGTGCTACCTTGCTTTCTGACTGATATGAGAGAAGCTGATAAAGAATTAGAGCGAAGAATATGTATTCAAATGTGTCTCTCAGCACAACCATGAGGCACCGAGCTGAGTCGTATTCTTCTATTACAAAACAAGAAGTTAAAGCTATAGACAGACAGGCCAGCATGTAGGGAAACATGAAACCCACAGGTACGCGAGTGTGATAGGTCCGTCTGCTGACGTAGAGAGTCAGAACAGCGATCAACATGATTAGAATCAACAAGATCGCCACAATCCTAGTGGGTCCCTTCAAGTCTAAGGCGCTGCTCAGAACCTTTTCGACAGGTACAATAGAGTTTGCTGGAGTGCTAAAGTTATTCAAACATCCTCCGGAGGATCGTAACGGTTTTGTCCTGGCGGAGGATTTCCAAGTGGTAGGCACGATCTGTGTACCCCTCTCATCCGCCCAACCCAACAACTCCACGCCCGGGGTAGTGCCTGATTTGAAAATATTCATCCTGTTGTACGAGAAGCCGTTGTCTAAAAGCTCTGTCTGTTCACCAGTTATAGAGTTGAAAGCGACATCACGAATTTGGGCTGACTGAAGTGTTCCCTGTTGACGAAGGAGCATCTCGATAAGTTTCAAACTGTCGAGGAGGAGGCGCACTGACTCACTCTGGCGATACTTATTGTTTACTTTATACTGCATACAACTGAAAGATTTGACGATATTATACAGGTTATTTAACTAAAAATTGTCATAGAATATAATATCGAAATGAAATTCTGTCATTGAAACTGTAAGCTTGAAAAATATATCAAGTAAGTCATCAGAGATGGTAAGTTATTACCTGGGTAGAAGACAAGAATATTTGGTGTTCTCCTTAGGGCTGGACCCAGTGTTGATCATAGGATAACTCTTAGGAAACAACATGATCAGATCACCTATCTCTGATCGGTTGCTGACCGTTGTGATGGACGCTGACGGCTGATCCTCCAAGAAATACTGCATCACAACCATGCTCCTGCACCCTGATCGAGTGTAATGATCTAGAAACTGGCCCTGAAACGTGGAGTAACCCACTAGGATGACCACTGAAAAGTTCCTGCAGGTTTGTTCTGTTATCTGGGCCGGGTCCAACACTAGTTTGTCCCAACAAGGTCCCTTCCCTTGGAGCAAGTTGGTTACTGAAGTGTTAGCCTGCACATAGTAACTCACCTCCTGCCATTGGTAAAAGTCCAGAACTTTTTCAAGGGTCTTCATCTCAAACTCAATACTGGGCGTGGTCAGGAAAACATTGGGCGAACTTGGCGTCCTTGTGACCTGATTCAAAACGAAGGTAGGAACATCAAAAGCATCCACAATAGCAGTTATATTCTCTATCTGCTGATCAGAGAAGACGCCCAACACGGCCGTCACACCGTCCTCAACGGACCCAACCAAGGTTCTCACCATAGTGTCCGGACGCAGGCTCACTATCTTGTGGTCCAGGTCGTACCATAACCCTCTGCTGAGGTGCTTGATGCCGTGTTTTATTGAGGAACGGAGTTCTGTAGAATCAGGGCCCTCGGGAACAAAGAACAGCAGGGTGGGTGAGGTGAGAGGGAAGAGGAGGAGGAGGAGGAGCATGATGAGGGTGGTGGGGAGCGGTTCCGTTGATGTGACCAGAAGAGAGAGGTTCAGGCCATTAGGGGTTGTTGAGGGCAGATTAAGGGTTCTTTTTCTCGCATTGAACTTGATCTATAATGTATAAAATCGAGTAAATTCAACTGTAAATGTACTGTTTATCAGAATGAGAAGATTGTAAACGTATAAGGCAACGTTAGTAAGTTGTAGACCACTGAGTTTAGCGCCAGCAAGTACCACAGCCAAGAAGAGCTGGCCACTAAGTTTCGGGAGCTATTAGTGTATTTCTATAGTAATTTTGAACTTTTAGCGGCCAGCTTTTCGCGGCCGTGGTATAAATAAATACTGCTAACTAAACCTCCGGATCCCAGATTAAAATAACTCAATAGCTGGCATGCAGGCCAAATACAGTAAATACTTATATCCGGGATCTGCAGTTTATAAACATATTATAAATATATACAGCTAAACGCGATTTAATTCGACAATTTGGATCGACGTAAATTATAACCGTTGCAGTGTCGTGGGAGTAGAAAAGTTACAAAGTAAAAATAAACGACCTAGAAAATTGACCGCAATTATGCAATTATGTGACCAGAAAATGATATGATTACGAAGGGAACGACTACGTATAACTGGAATTGTTTAGAAATACGATGATTTTATCAACAAAGAATACCTCAGAATTATGCAGAAAGAAACAACGATATTGTTGTTTCTTGCGTCTATAACGTGATCTGACTTTCATTATCTCAGACAGAAAGGTGGGTTATACACTGACCGCCTGTTATAGTGTCGTGAGTTATAGCATGCCGTGGAGATATAACAATATGATCATAATAATATTATTATATACGTTAATCATCAGACCATCGTGAAAAATTTCTCTGCTTTTATGGGCACGACTTGACAACAACATGCAATGTACAATCTTGTGGAGTTTTTATAGAATGTTGTAGAATTTATTCTGCGTGATATTGTAGTAGAGAAACCGTTCAAACTTTAACAATTTAATAACAACAACCTATCACTGAGTATCACGAACGATCATTAAAGTTTAGTAAAAATTAATACGGTACATGCGATCATATCAGTGTATCTAAAATTGAAAGTTCCCCTAATGTTATTAAATATGTTGTAACAGTAGGTGGTTTTTGTTGCTCCAAACTTGTCGAATAAACCATGAAGAGCACAGTGAAAGGGAAAGAATAGCAAAAACCAAGTAGATAACATTAAAACTGTGAAATATTTGGAGTACAAAAGATACACTTCTTTTGTAAGTGCTAATGGCGTAAAAAGCCGATTTCCAGACAAAAATGTTGCCAAATATCCTTTTCCGGGTTTGATATGCCGCCCAAACAGAGACTGTTGTGAACGAAACTTATATTCAATGGCTCATAATAAACGCGACCACAATCCACAAACGTTCTTGCGGTTACTAACGGTAACTAAGGGGACGTTCACATATTACGTTATCAGCCGAGGGGGGAGGGGGGTTTCCAAATGATTACGTTAATGTAATTTCGACACAATAACTATGTGTAAAATTGATTACGAAGGGGGGAGGGGGAGTTAAAAACTGTCCAAAAATTGATAACGTAATATGTGAACGACCCCTAATTGCGTTTAACAAATAATTACGATGTTACCCATTACTAAATTAGTAAGTAAGAGGATAAGTAAAAAGAGCTAGAGAGTAGAGTTGCTTTAAGAAGGCTCTATAAGCCCGAGATACACATATTCTGGAGAGGAGGCAGGAAATAATGTGTTGAATGAGGTCACGAGTGGGAAACCTTATCGATTAACGATTAACGTAACGTGCTAGAAAGATAACGAGCCCACGTGTGACGTGTTAGAAGTGCACGTGTGACATGTGAGAGATGAGAGAGGAAATTCCACCGGGCACCAATAGATGCTCTGATGTGAGAATTTAGGGATGCTCTGAACTTAACAGCTTGTCCTTGAAATAGAAATTAATTTCCTGAATAGCGAATTACAATTCCCTTTAAGAACTAAAAGTTGGAGTTCTTGATGTGAATAATTGTCAATCGACGGCACAACTCTAATTATAATGGACTCACTATATACCAGGAGCATTAAGCGGTATCAATGAATAGGAGGAGTGATTTACATGTGTTTAATGTAGGTTAATAAAGCTTATATTCAATAAAGCTTATATTCAATAAAGCTTATATTCAATAAAGCTTATATTCAATAAAGCTTATATTCAACAAAGCTTATATTCGTAAATCGTACAGTAGACGAAGTGGGCGTCTCTATCCAGTTCAAACACAAAAGATCTGAAGACTTGTCGGCATAATACTGTAGACTTGTCGGCTTCACGTTCATGTCAAAGAGTAAGAAAAACATAATGAATCTGGAAAAGGCTAGGAATGTGGTGGTGGAATGATAAAAACAGGAGTTTAAATTCAGAACAAGCAAAGAAAGAGGAATGATAATGAATTTGATGTTCAAATCACCGTTATTCATAACTAAAGACACCAGCCACCCGTATCTATTGCAAATTGGTCAATATAGGTCATAGAATACCTTATTATCAGATCACATAATTCCCTATTAAAACTACAAGCAATCACTTAATAATACATAAATTTGATAAAATACGAGCGAGGGAGTAATCCAGTAATCTCTAATAGTAGACTGTACTGGTGTTATTTAGATAGATTAGGTGCTGACAGCTGTAGAACCGAAAAGGCAGGCCACAAAATGGAGATATATGTAGTCCACCTCATCGAGTAAATTCTGTAAAGCGATTATTCTTCTGCTGTGGGGACACATGTCCCCCAGTACCGCCGCCCGGAGACTGTAGCAGATAGTTGACACAAAGTATTGGGAGAGGGGGAAACGTGGGTGTTTTAACCGCAGGATTCGTGATGAAAAGTAAAATCAACTGTGTGTGACGAAGTCGTGGTGTGAAGTACGGGTGAAATAGAAGGTTATATAGTGATATGGTGCCGCGAATCATAGCCGGTCGGTCAGGTGTTGACAAGTGAAGCGGCGGGGAAGTAGCATTCCTCCGCAAATTATCAGGCTCTTCACGTTCACTATTAATGCAGACACATGCACTACTACTTGTGCTGAAAACGTGTGAAGTTGCCAGAAAATCAATGTACGATACTACTCAACAACTGGCAAACTTAACAACAACAATAATATATTGCTTGAAACTCTAATACAACTCATGGCAATGCTTACGAATTGTAAATATTGACGGTTCAGCGAAGCCGGCGCGGAAAACTCATTAGGCCTGGGAGAGGGAGGCGGTTACAATGGTGTTATCTCGCAAAATTAGACGTAAAACTACAACTGAGAATGTAGCACAACGTGGTTCACACTTGATAATGTGACATATTATCAAGAGGGTCTCTCTCTTTCTCTTTCTCTCTGTACCTCTCTTTCTCTCTGTACCTGACTACCTCTCTATCTCTCTTTCTCTCTTTCTCTCTTTCTCTCTCTCTTTCTCTCTCTCTTTCTCTCTCTCTCTCTCTCTCTCTCTCTCTCTCTCTCTCTCTCTCTCTCTCTCTCTCTCTCTCTCTCTCTCTCTCTCTCTCTCTCTCTCTCTCTCTCTCTCTCTCTCTCTCTCTCTCTCTCTCTCTCTCTCTCTCTCTCTCTCTCTCTCTCTCTCTCTCTCTCTCTCTCTCTCTTTTTCTCTATGTACCTCTCTTTCTCTCCCTCTCTCACGTGCCTATACAGCGTACTGACTCTACACCCCTCATTTGCATCAGGTCACTAGTTGGCGCCGTCTCATGATTTGATCTGCTTGGATTTAGGAGTGAGGGCGCGTGTAATGTGTGATTATAAAACAAAAGAATGGGACCCTGGGACCACCCCGGAATAAGTTCCCATGAGCAGTGACCGTTAAGTGTAAAATATGCAGTATGGCAGTGTTCTGACGTTTTATGAGCCGAACATTTAAAAGTAGGTAACTCCAGTCTATAATATGGATAATTCGTCGAGGAATCTTAATATTTACACCAAAAATTGGACAAGCTGTCAAACACGGAGCATGAATTTCTGTTTTTCTTCCCCACAAAAATGATTTGGTACCCAAATGAGGTTGCTGAAAAGAAACTAATAGAAATCCTAAAATTCGAATTTTTAGCCTACAAAATTTCAACAAGTTCATCAAATCTAAATCCTCTATAGTCAGGTAGATGAAACTGAGACATAGAGTATCCTGAGCAGCGGACAATATTACTGAATCACAAATATCGTCACTTGATCTATCTTTTATCAATCTAGCTACCTAATATCATCACCGGGTCCCATCTAGCAGCTAATACCACGTGATGACCATATAAGGATATTTAGATTAAAAACAGCTGAGGAGCAGCGGAGTTGAAGAAAGCAGGTAGAAAGGATAATGAATATGTAGATCTGGATATTGTTATGAAGGTGCAGTGAACCGTAGTTGTTTTGACACGTGACAGTGATACTGGATTTTGATTGGTCGATGCTGTTATAAAGAAGTCTACCCGACTAAGAGACGATTAAGAACCTGCATGGAACCTTTAAAAGAACGGTCTAATTTCCCAAATCACTTATTACAAGGCCGGTAGCTATCTTAATGGCGACAACCATATTACTAGAATGCTATAATGGTATACAATGCTGGACAAAGTGGGAGCATATATTACCAAATAAATACTGTCAGCATTGTTTCGGCAACTTTCTATCGTGGATGATAATAACAATTATTACAGATGTTTATCAAGATGGTTGCTGGCTAGGTGTATGTATACTGCAACTGGCTTGTGCAAACGTTATCCTCAAAAAGTTGCAAATATCTGTGGAGACGTGACTACGGCTTTATAAAACACCTAGAGATCGTTCTGTAGAATAATGAAACATGGGTGGTTCAATGTAATCCGTTTAAATGGTGAGTATTTATCATGACAAATTTGCGGAATCAAACGTCTATTACTAGAAAATTACTTTCGTTGTTCAAGAGTCCACATCCAACCATTTCTTTAATTTGAATGTTGACTTTGTTTTGCCCAGGTAATTACAGTTTATCTGTTTAATGACCCAATAATTCCTATTCATACAGATAATGTGACCAAACTAAATTCCAAACTTTAGATAAAAGAATACCAAAAAAAAATGTCTGAAAATAAAAGACAACAAACAAACAAACGGTCAAAAACCAAATTGGTGGTTAAAACCCAAAAAAAAGTAGGAAAAATTCATAGATCCTAATTATGACATCGACCTTGGCTCGGGGCCCCTCATTACGTCGATTATGTCAAATCAGGTAATCAATACTTAAAAGTTAAAGGCCAAAGTATACTCGCTGCTTAATTTTGTTTATTTCCCCTAAACTGAACATGCTAGCTTGCGACACTTCCAGTAAAAAATGCAATAGCATAAGATATATAAACTAATTATAAACAGCCTGGGACGGTCTTACTTTTAGGTTTTAAGGTATTTTGAAGCAACCTTAATAATTGGGGAGACGACAAGAGAGCACTAGCGGAATTTCTCGCACAATTAAACCCTCTTGACGACACACTGAATAATGAGCATGCGGCATTCAACAATACGATGCCTTAACAACAGAGAGCTCATGACTTTCATCTCCACTGCTAATTGGCGTCGCGGCAAAAATGAAAAAAGCTTCTGTATACCTGTATATAAGTATCACCATTTTTTGGCGAGATGCCTGTCATGCGCATGTGGATGTTTTGTCGATACATTAGTCGTTTCTACCGGTGACACCCTTATAATGCATAACATAACATTTACCTTTGAATACAGGGAGACCGAAGGATCGTTTCACTGTTTAGTGTTTATAGAAAAATAAAGCGAAAATATAGACCAATCTCTAACAGGGAGTCGTGTCGTTGTAATAAAAAGTTCGCCAGAAGAATAACGTTAAGGCGGGTTATCCTGTAAAGTGTAGACATGATAAGAATAAATACTGGAGAGAAGGAAAAAAACAAGGAAGGAGGATGACATGATCGCCAAAACTAACCAACCAGTCAGAGTAGGTGTTTTTACAAGTATGTAGTCCAATGTCCGGTCTGTTACAAGTATGTAATCCAGTGTCCGGGCTCAGCCTACTCCGGGCCGGGCTGTTATGTACTAAATTGTTCCGTAGCAGTACCTGACAGGAGGATATTTGCCTCAATTACGCAGATAATGCACTTGTCACTCTTTCTGATCATGGTATGAAGGTTAAAATTAAATTGGAATGATGATAGTGTCATGAACACTCGGCGCCATTACTTAAGTCTTTAATCTTGAGAACTGGAGCTCTCGTATCCTGGATGTCACATTCACTTAGGGAACGACCAAAATTTCGCTACGGTCGGCAAAAGTTTCTGGGTTAGATCGATTACGAGCTTAGATTATGAAACCCTTCTTGACTGTACTGGAATAAAACAACGGCTCCTGACGGGAATATGTCATAATAAAGTAAAGGATTTATCAGGTCAGCGAGCAGGCGAAGCCAGCAGGAAGCAGAGAGACAAATGACAACGACCTCCAGCTCTTGAGCTCTATATTGGGCAACACTTTACCAGGACAATAGATGTGGCATTTGCTGCAGTCGATACCATTGTCGAAAGGATTGTTACCTAGCAGACTCGACGAATAGAAATTGAATATGATTGAGCAAGGTTGCTGCTTAAAACTTTAAAATAGGTCAATGAAATTGAGTGACTGAGCTGAGAGAGGAGGCAAGTTCTGCGCGGGAATGGAAATGCACGGCTGAATGTGGTATTACAATTAGAATGAGAGCGACAAAGAGATTTACATCACCCCAAGAAGATAATTAATAAACAAAGTGGGGCGGGCATAATGGTACGAGTTATGCATATTTAGGTGGTGCCATAAGGCCAAACTGGAGCTGACCACTCAGCCACTTGTGCAGTTAGTCACAAAAGAAGTGTATAAGTACAATTACAAGCTACAGTTCCAAATGAACAATAATAACCCTACAGTTATAACCTCCGTCCCTCCCTGATTTATGGGGCCTGCAGGTCAAAAGCGCACATAAATTGATACATAATAATAATTCTGAATACCCTACATGCCCAATTCCGCCTTGTTAATACTTAATTGTCCCCCATCAACAGTCAACACTTGGTACACAAAAAGTCTCTATGAAAAGGGCCTGTTATTAGCTCAACACACTGCCCTGTCTGCTACCAGTTCTCTGTGTTAATGTGTACTGTGCAATACATTGGCAGATGTATGTCTCGGGGACTAATACTTTCAGTTTCACTTTCAGTTTCACTTTCAGTTTCATACTAGTCTTCTTCTCCTGCTTTGTGACATTCGCAAGTGGAACTGTGAGTACAGTAGGTCTAGTTTCTCTCTTCGTCTCTCAGCTGAGGTGGTTACTAATTTAGTAACTGTCTCGCTGAGGCGGTTACTAATTTATCTTCCTTTTTACGGTGTAAGGTATTTGCACTTGTAGAGCATTCAGTTTATGAGTAATATATTCAAGACGTGAGTTAACCATTCACCACTATAATATCTATTGTAAAGTTTACCAAGCGTGCTCAATTAGGTAATTACTTTTAGAATTAAGCATTGACATCAGCTTAACTCATGTCTATGTTAACCGAGGAGTTGGGCTTGATGTGACATTTACGTAAGAACCGTATCTAGTCGAGTCAGAGAGTATTTTCGTAATAATTGTACTAATCTGTTTGTGACAGTTCTCCTAATAGGGCGGGTCTCACCATAAGAAAGAAAAAATGTCAACCGTATTGATAAGGATTCACCAGGATTCACCGGGATCCCCGTAAGAAAATCTTGGAATTCTGCGGTAATAAACTGACAATCTTTCACAGTGGGATGATTTAGAATGTTGCACAATTGTTCACAGCCCCAAGACAAATTCTAAACGGGTGTGACATGCCCTTGGCAATATGCCAGGTTAATCCGTAAACATAAAGCCGAGGGGCATAATGAAGAGGCCTCTTCCTAGTGTTCAGTACACAATGGCCTGATTTTCATGATTCTTTGTCATATGACATGCTTTCATCAGTCATCACTGGAACGAATTCATAATTTCTCTCGACCCATGACATTTTACTGGCTCTTAGGAGTTTCGAATCGCATATAATCGCAGTGTTAAACAAGGAATTGAAACCGAGGGGTTCCGTTCAGGCCCTTCACACTATTTGTTTCTGTCTAGTTTTAATGTACCGTCACAATAGTGACTTTAATATACCATATTCCCTTATGGCATTGTCTTTGTCGTGTAAAATTACAGATCATTAAAGGAATGGAAGTTCTAGCTCTGCAGTTTTCCAAGATATCAAGCAGAGTGTGTTACATTATATATGTTGTTGATTACGTATGATTTATTATCAGGTGATCCGGTAGACTGGTAGAGTTAAACTTTAACTGTGTATTATGCACTATGAATACGAACACCTTCAATCAATTGTGAATATGATCTCTATTTTTTCCGACGAAACAAATTGCTTGATAACATCGTTATTTTAAGTTCATTTTGCATTTTCGTGACCAACTTAACATTATAAGATCGATTGCACAATATAACAAGAATTTCGCCGCGGTTAAACCACGCACGATCAATTTTCCCTACCATGTACTTGTACCATTAATAATTAATAATTGTACCATTAATAATTAATAATTCTTTTAAGTGAAAAGTGTGACTGGAAAAAAAGTGCACCATAATTACATACTATGTTTTTTTATAAATGAGTGGGATTCGTGCATGGTAAAAATTGACGATTTATTTGACCAATGCAGCGCCGCGCATCAAAAATAAATGAATCCAGAAATTTGCGGAAAATAACTTTGCGAAGGAGGAATTTCACTGTAATTAATTAACACATGGCTAGCGTCCCGCGCAGCATAACAGACGCTTCCTATACACTTGATTATAGGGGAGTGGTCTATATTTCGAAGGAGCAGACTTTTGTCATCATCGCAGGTCCATCGGGCCACCTCATATATCCAAACCCGATTACTTATTCCCTACGATCTTTTTGCCTTCGGCAAGAGTAGGGAAAAAAATTGAATTTCCTGACAGTAAAAAAAGACGGATCTGCAAGTGCAATACATCGTTAAATGTGTGTGGTCTAGAGTAAGGCAAATTACAATTTCTTTTGAATCCCCAAATGAGTGAAATAACAACATGTCACCTTTAGAGTAAAGGTCCTAATTATAAAGCATTGTTCTATTATAATGTATTCGAGAGATCTATTTCTCTCATTAAGATCTCCATAATGATCGCGAATCTTCCACAATAGGAACCCCTTTTTGGTCGAAAATTGGGACCTTTACCGATTGTTGAAATTCAACATCTAGCGTCATCTAGTGAAGTGACGCTAGATGATGCTAGATGACAGTAGATAGCGACAATTAGCGACAATGCATGGCACCTTTTCAATGTCGCGATCTAGCGCTAGATAGCGTCATCTAGCGTGAAATGACGCTAGATGACGCCAGATGACGCTAGTTACGCGACACTGTCACCAGATGACGTTAGACAATCGGTAAAGGTCCGAAAATTGCTCGTTAGAGAAATTGTTCCCCCACTAAAACTAGACCCTTACTTTAGCAGATTCGACTGAAGAACAATGTGTCTTTCAACAAGAAAGAGATACTTTCGAGGATAGGCTATGAGGACAAGGCAACTTTGAAACGGAAGAGGAATGAGTTGGTGATGAAAAGTTTGTGGTTTAAACCGAATAAAGGCAGCAGACTTGGTTAGTTTTATTTTTTATTTTACGATGCAGTTGTAATATTTTAGTAAGTATCGGCGATAAAACGTACAAAGACTACCACTTACAAAATATAGATACCATCATTTTAACTGTAAAGCTATAATAATCGCTTGCAATATGAATATTCACTAAGTTCACGATTAAAATATGCTACCGACTATTCTAGTTCACATTAATCGGCTAAACGTAGGTCATAGATATATTTAGGCCGAATTTATTTTTATGTCTGGAACAATAAACTAACAGACCGGAATAAAATACCCAAAATAACAGTGGCATTAGAATTTTACTGGATAAATCCAGAATTTCCCGCTGGTTAGTAAATTTACTGCGCTACAAAAGTTTAGGCAAACTACTCAAGTAACATCCGGTTTATCATCCCCGTACAACTAAAATAAGCTGCATTTTGACTTCTCGTATAATTGGGTTTGTTGTCTGCGTAAACCTGGTTCCCTATTTGCTCCAACTGGGGATTGTAACTTAAGTGGTAGAGATTTAAAAGTTTATGAGCCAGACATGAGTCTACTACAACAATCAAAACAAATGGGAGATAAACGAAGACTGTGAGTAAAGTTAGATTATAAGTTCATCTACAGCAAACCATGTATAATGGGAAAGAAGGAGACGGAAAGTGTAGTAAACCAGACCTGCAATACTGTGAAACCAGGCATGTTTTTAAATCCCGAATATGTTGGAATCCGGGCGGATATGTTTAAAAGTCAGATACGGCATACTAACTTGAACTACCGATCATTATAAAGTTGATTTAATAACAGTGCATGTCATAAAAGAGAAAATAACGCTCCCTCTGACGCTGCTCTTGCTGAAATGTAATCGTGATGAAAAGACAGGCCACTTGACATCTTATAACGGAGCCTGAATCACAGCTATTAAATTGATTCATGGCTAATGGCTATGTCATCTGAACTGTTCGACGAAATTTACACAAGGATAAATGACAAACAAATATGTGGAACGGAGTGGCACCTAGCAAGCAAACACGGTATTTACTGACGGACTGTCTTTGAAGGATCTCTTAATGATATCTTTAAAAAAGACTTTCTTTGATGTTATTTTATCACTAGCTTGCATTCAAAGCCTATTCAAAATATTGGTTATCTGACTGAATGGTTACTCTCATGGAAAGACACAACTGTGACTAAGAGTTAAAACGCGACAAGAAAACCAGACAATGTCTCCCGGGAGGTGTGTCACTTGTCAGCGACATTATTTCTTGCGACAAAAGTCGCAAATGAATGGTGAAAATGGCGTAAAGTATGCCTGCTTTTTTGTGACTTTTTTTCGTAGCGATTAGCGAAAAACACTTCGCTATAATGAATATCCTAAATATTTATTTTGGGTAATAAACACTTTGAGTAGCGTTGACACACCACCAATATTGAAATATTTTGAAATAAACTATGATGATTATATTATATGAATTTTACTTGTATTGATAGAGTGCTATCTTAAAGTTATATGTTTTTCAGGCTCTAATGAAGTAGTTTTACGAAGATTTCAAGCCTTACGTTGTGTGTTTCCCTTCGGGTCCAAAAGCATAATAATTTTTTTAAATTTAACTTTAAATGTGTCCCAGTTCAAATGGCGGTTAGCTGAATAAAAGTTATATCAAATCTCGATTATGGCTTATACGTAATACCTAACAGTACTTCTTGTCGAATATGAGCATCTAGATCCGACCAAACTCGTGCACTGTCGTGCAGCATAACAAGTTAATACATGGAAATATATATTGCCCAGGTCAATAACCACACATAACTTATATTAACCAAACCATAATAATCCTAGACCTTTAGTTATAATACAGCCGCATAATATGCAGCATAAAGTGCATTCTGATTCATTAAATGGCAAAGCATTCGTATAATCCTCCTGGCGGCGCTTGAATAGCCAGCAATGAAATTCAGGTAGTCAATGGTATCTGACAATTGTACAATCATGATTTGCGAGCATTAATTATATATTAAAGGTTAACAAAGAAATGCGGTGCCCTATAATCTTATAATGACATTACAAGCTAACGACAAGCTACAATTATTGTTATTATCGTCTGGTTCGAGTGCAGATTGTTAGCGAGTGGTGTCTTTGTTTCCAATATATACAATGAGGTAATTTGGCGGAGGGGAAACAATAAAATGCCCCTTAGCAATTTCCAGGTTGACATTCAACAATGCCATTTAACAATGTCATTCAACAATGTCATTAAAATTCCTCTTAGTAAAGACAAGGTCACGTTTCGAACCGGTACTATCAAGAAGGCAGCTGGTTTATAACAGTCCAACAAGCAGTGTCACTCTCAAATAATAATGCTTTTTATCATTTTAAGGTGAAATACAGCTAAATTACCAGCTAATTGGGGTACTTGATCAGGTATTTGGAAGAATGTGGCACAAAACAGGCCGGTGACAGTGAGTTCTCACACCAGAAGAGGACAACCGCAGCACGCAACCGACGGTAACCTGCACACCTATACCATGTGAGAATGAGGCTTATAATTATAAATGCTCTATAAACACATTGCAGTTGTACAGTAATACCCCGATGTACCGCGGAGTTTGAGAGAAAGGAAAAAGCCGCGGTAAATCAGGGTTTGCGGTAAATCAGGGTTTGCGGTAAATCAGGGTTTGCGGTAAATCAGGGTTTGCGGTAAATCAGGGTTTGCAGTAAATCAGGGTTTGCGGTAAATCAGGGTTTGCGGTATATCGGGGTTTTGATTGTTACTTTGTTAACACTGTGTATGTTAAAGTCCTATTTAGGGGGAGGAAATGGCCGCGGTAAATCGGGGTTTTACTGTAAATAAGTTATGAACAGAGAATTAAACACGTTATTACACGTGATGTACACGTGATGTACACGTGATGTGCACGTGATGTACACGTGATGTACACGTGATGTGCACGTGATGTACACGTGATGTACACGTGATGTACACGTGATGTACACGTTATTACACGTGATGTACACGTGATGTACACGTGATGTACACGTGATGTGCACGTGATGTACACGTGATGTACACGTGATGTACACGTGATGTACACGTGATGTACACGTGATGTACACGTGATGTACACGTTATTACACGTGATGTACACGGTTTGCTGTATCAGCTAAAAGAAAATTGTACAAAAATAATGAACAAAGAAATAACACCAGCCAGTCGACCAGACAGCAATGTTAACAACATCATTAAGATTAATTGATCAAAGGTAAAATTATAATGATTATATGAACTATTACTCTAATAGCTTGCGGGTCCTTTCTTTACGGCTGCCCATAACGACTCAATACTCCGTGCATTCCACAGGACACATTACAGACGTGACTCATGGATTGCGGTGTCGTTGGAGAAGACATACCACATTGGATTTATAACCTTATTCTACTCGAAACCCTTCACAAGACTCATCCGAGGTTTTACTGTTAGTCACGCTGAATTATATTGGAGATTTAAGAGATATATTGTTAAGATTAAGAGATATACATTATGTGCTTGGAGGGGGATTATCTAAAACATATAATTTATTATTTACAACAAATAAGTGATACGAAAAGTTATATTATGGGATCTGCAATGAATTGTAGGGATAATTGTAAGGATTACAATGAATTGTTGGGAGAATTGTAAGGATTACAATGAATTGTGAGGATAATTGTAGGGATTACAATGAATTGTTGGGATAATTGTAAGGATAATTAATGCTCCAAATATTACAAAAGTAAGTTATTGTATACTCGGAGGCAGTGCGTAGACACATGATATTTTAGCTTGTAAATAACAAAGTAAGAATATTATAATGATGCATATTATAATGATGTATATTATAATGATGTATATTATAATGATGTATATTATAATGATGTCCCTCCCACCCCAGGTGTTTACACATCACCCTAGCACCGGATGGCACCAATGTGGACTGTCCCGGAACAGCTACTTCGATACAGACGGACGGTACATCCTAGTGGACTGTCCGCCCAACACTTACGGGGATTATGTACTGATTATTAAGAAGGGGAGGGGGGCTCTTGGGTTCCGGGAGATTCACGTCAAAGGTAAGTAGAGTGTAAGTAGAGTCAAAGGTAGGGATAAGTAGAGCGATAGACGTGTTTTATTTGTCACATCAAAATAGTATGGTAATAATAATTGTAATTGTGGTTTCAGCTGGAGTTCTTTCATCTAATTTAATATTACTGCTAATGATTTCAGCTTGGGTGGACTCTACACCGCAAGAGAGAAGAAGAGGAGGCAAAGTTAGAGGAGAGTGATAACATCAGGACACTGACAATAATTATCACTTAAGATAACTGTATCAAGCAAATGGTATTGGCCTCTCTCTCTGGGCTTAACATCAGTTTTGTAAAGCTATGCTTATTGGAATATCTGGACAAATGATATTTCATACATTCACGGCGGCGAAGATAAATCTTGTTTGAGGAACGAAAATTATCATTTTCGAGCATAATATGACTAATATCAATGCTAATCCTTTTTAAGCTTCATAGCTACTAACTACATACTAAAATTTAAATGATTTGTACTTATTGTGTTTGCTCTCAACAGTTATTGTTTAAGATCGTTTTTCATTTACGGCAATTCTCTGTCTGACATAGAAAATGGGCGGTATCTCATTGATGATTTCTGCGATGAGCATAATGGTATAAGATGTGTGTCGCGCCTTGCCAAACCTAAATGTTGGGCGCCATGCTAATCCAAAACGTTGAGTCATGACACTATACATACCATTGAAAACATCTGTGTATAGAGATAAAGCCTAAAGGGCAGGTGAAGGAATAAGTATCATTTATTTGATACTAAAACCTTGCTACGGATGACTGTTAGCTTCGTATAGTTTCACTATCATTATCAACTTGTAGTAGGGACTTTTTGTCTTCAAATCTTTTGTGTTTAGGCAAAGATATACTTTGATAGTCTTCCTCCGTGAAATTGTATTCAAAGTTATTTTTTAACTTTTGGTTTACATAATTATCTAGATACTGTTAACTTTGACTTCAATATGTGAAAATCTGTCTAAAAAATACCATCTTCTTATTATAATTTATACCACAATCTCGAATCGTTATGCATATCACAGTAATTTTCACCAATAAACTCATAGTCTCAGGAGTTTGAATTATGAGCTCGTTTTCAGAGATGTTTTTCCAGACAGGTCATAACTGAGGTCTGTGTTGATAGCCACAAATGTCAAGAACACTACGTCTGCACTGTTGTTTAATCATTGTAGACCACAGTCCAGATCCAGGCTGGATACAGTCCAGATCACTTCCAAGCGAACTCAAGATTTAGAAAATATTAAATTGATTAAACCTGTTTGCTATACCAGTGTCCAGTATGTTCGCTAATGGGTTGTTCACATATTACGTAACTCTACCAAATGAAGTATGAACAGCTGCTTTGTATCACCTAACTAATCGTTAAGTTCAGTGACTTTTCAGGAAGAATGTTTGCAATGTTTGGAACCATGTGGTAAACTGGTTACCACTTTTCGGATCAAAAATACATTTTTCACGGCTATATCATACTTTGAAAACTTTTAAGTTAAACACGTACCACCTTGACTTTTTTAGAAGTTGTGTAGAGTGTGTTAAATGATTTGTGCATCATTTTAATCCTTAATGTACTGTTTTTAAAAAAAGATTTAATTTTAAACTTCAAATATTATGAGTCATTTTATTCGACGTGCATTTTTACGCTTACAGAAAACGCTTACAGAAAACATCATTCTTTAACTAAACTAAAGGTCACAAAAGTAAGAAAGTACCAAAGTAAGAATGACGGATAGTCGGATACCTTACTTGTCTGTTCATTTTCTGTCCTGATCATTGCTTCATTAAGTACACTTGGTGCATTTTCTTAATTGCTCATACTCCAGTCATTATTTGTCATAGAGCATACAATTTAGATAAGAGTCTGCAGTCTAGACAAGAGAAGGATCTGGAGTCATAACTGAAAATAGAGGATAAGATATATTTTGCTGTGCTGTAATAACGTATTTGCGTGAAATTGATCCGAATCTATCCATTGAACTATTGAACGGTTCAATTAAAGGTTTCAATTAGTCTCCGTCGCTGGAGCCTATAATGCACATATTATCGAAGAGTGGATGTCAATGCAAGGGCTAGTGGTCCAGAGGGATGATGCGTACTTAATAATGTCCTAGAAAATTTACTGGAACACTGCAGAAGCCTTATTATATAGTCCTCACTGCTGATTATATAATACATATTACATACTGCTAACTGAGATTGAGGCAAATTCGAGTTGATGAAAATGCGGGAATCGTTAACTATAAGTATTACAAATGAATTTGGAGTGTTACATATTATACCGTGCTTGATGATATGTCACTGCTGAATCGGGAGAACAACGACAATCAGCCAAAAAGCCATGTCAGGTTCCACCTGGAAACACTCTATCCTATTATCTAAGGATGGATGCCACAGAGTGTATTTTTTGCAAAGTTCCTATCAAAGGTTTTTACTAATGGCTACTAAATACATGTACAGTGGTTTGGCTTATCTACTTTCCAGTAAGTGAGAGGAAGGACTGACCTTTACAATCACCAGCAGGTCATCATGTTTTAAAACCTAGATAGACTAGACTCGATGGAATGGAGTGTCTTTTGTTTGGGAAGCATTTTGCTTTGTTCTAAACTATTATCTTAATTTCCCAAATTAAATTTAATGAACAGCTTATTCTGTATATTCAGCACAACATTATGCGTTAATATCATGAAATCACAAAGTCTCGACCATAGAAACACACAATTTATAGGTTATTATAATATTTGTTTGCTGCAAAGCGCTTGACTATCATGGCTAGGGGCAATATAAAAAGTCTCTGCATGTTATCTATGGATCCCGCACTATATTACGACAGCAGTGTAATCCTAACCTTATCATGAGAACCGTCTTCATGTTCTGTAGGTTTCTTTGAATTTTTATTTGTGGGGCACCCCCTCTACCTTCATATCTTCGTATAATGGACGGTACGTTCATCATTTATAATTTATTAAGACCTGTACTGTGTGGCTCAAATTAACTAAATGTGTCGGAATCAGTATGTCATCTAAGCAGTTAGTCTGGCGTAATCCTCCAAACTATTGTGTATCATCAGAAATGGTGGCATTATTCATCCATTATGATAATTATGTTAAGACATTAATTAATATGTACACGATAATGAGTAATATACAAGTTGACTACGGCTAGGAGCAACACACCAAGCCTTTGTGTTTTATTTGTGGTTTATAGGTTAATAAAAGTTGTTCTGGACAGCTCAAAATGGATATGTCAGAATCAGTATGTCGGGTGTCGCTTAATAAGTTAGTCTAGCGTAAACCTACAAATTATTGTGTCACATTGGAAATGTCGGCACAAAGAACCGTCTCGCAATATCTCACGATACTACAAGAGTTCATTATGCATATCATCATCATCATGTTATTTCAACTTGTCAGATGATACAGGTTAATAATTTCTCGTCTCAGTCTCGAAATCGCCCTTTTTCTAGAAAGGATGGATTAGAGAAGCTGGCTAGACATGATAATGAGTCTTCAACACTCAAAATATAAAAGTTGTGTATTTTTTAAATCTTCCCATTTAGCTACAGAAACTGTCAGCTCCAATGTGTGAAAATTGCTCTAAAAAACACCGATTATTATTACATATTATATGTCTACTGCATCAGCCACTGGATAATATGTGGTCAATCCTTAACGAACAGAATGCCACTCATGTCATATCCAAACCATCCACCTTATATTACTTATTCCACGAATAATGTCAGATGAAATTATCATCTTCAGTTGTCGATCCAAAGGAATGGTCTGAAACCACGTAATCACGATCACGTCCAAATTATGAAGAGAATAGGTTGCGGAATTTCGACACGTGCAAATAAAATAGCCCAGGTGCTGCCCTACCTACAATAAAAATAGCCCATTCATTAACAATCGGTATGTGTCTTAGATCACACTGTCAGACCAAGCTCAACTCAAAAAATCATTTCATTAGTTCCCAAGGTTAACAATTATTTCACATGAGACAATTTCTACAGATATAGACTTTAGACACGTGAAATAGCTGGATGATCTGCCTCTAAACAATTCCAAACCTATATCTCTCTTTAAAGCAGTTGATTGGTAATAAAGAAAATGCTGGTGGTCTATCTCTATACTGGTGGTCTATCTCTATTCTTTATCACAAAAGGGCAAATTTGCATTACACCAAACCTGGTAACATTGATCAGTCAGGATTCTATAGCCCTAGCAATTGTTTTGGTCCAATCCATTGCTTCAATATGTGGTATGGCTCATTCGGCAAGGCGTATCCCAAGCTTTTGTTTCCTTATTTACTGTATTTCCTGTACAGCAAGCACAGGAAATGTTAATGGTTTTTAATAGGATAAAACTGACTAATTTTAAGGACATAAAGTCACATTTTCTTTTTGTTCTCGACTGTCTAGTAGACAACAGGCCTCACCAGTGATCTCATTGATCTAAGTTTTATACCCGCTCGTAGTCGTGCTCACTATTCGTATGATCTATAGTAGTCAACACAACCGTGTGTTACTCTTTATCGTTGCGGGACTCTACGGCGTAACTCGTAAGACTCTAACCCTAACCCTAACCCTAACCCTATCCCTAACCTTAACCCTAACCCTAACCCGATGTAGAGTCTTACGTCGTAGAGTATTACGCCGTAGAGTCCGGACCCCGTCGTTGCTTGATATGTAGTTACTAGAAGCTTGGTCACACTACAATTCTTACGATATTCAGATAATAGTTATAAGTTTATATATAAGTTTACTGACGTAACTGTAGTCTGACAGGGCTGACTAACAGTCCCCTTTCGTCAGTCATATAAAGACAAATGACAAGTTCTAAATAGTAAAATATCTCATTGAACAGTAGTAAATGTTAGACATGTAATATCATCTTATTGTTAGATTAGACCCCCACCATACACACATAGTTAAATGCGGCGCCTTAATATTTTAGTGAGATATGCGACATGCGTCAATGCTCATACGGCAGCATCCAAGATTCCAAGAAGCCCGACCACTAAGGGTAGACAACTCTAAAGCTCTAACAACTTTGAGTTAGGGTTATGGACCATAACCCTAAGCCCTAAAGTTGTCTACCCTAATGTCTACACATAGTTGTCGGCCTTGGATACTATCGGGTAGTCCTGGATGATTGTGTTGTTAACAGCTGTTCTATGTTGTTAACACAGCTGTTAACAGCTGTTCTGTGGTTGGACAAACGGTGCCAAACTGTCATCTCATCTATGAAACTCAGACGACAAGCATTTTGACTTTTACAAGCACATCAGTTGAATCACATAGTTATAGTTCTACGATGTTATTAATTAATCATGTTGATTTAATAAGTGCTCATTTGATGAAGAGGTTAACCTCATTGATGCCCATGCCCATTTGACCAAAAAGTGAGGAATAAATGGGTAAGATTGGTCTCATTACAGAAAATTAACCGAGCGTAACTTTAAATCTTTACAATTTTACACCGAGCTATTCGCAGAAATTTGATACGTATATTTTGGTGACACTAAGGTATCCCTGCAAAAAAATTTCTCTAGGCTCTGTACTATATCGAAGGACTATCTTCTCTGCTTATGTCACGAGGGATTATAATATGATTACATTTAATTGAATATTTGTCACCCAAGTGCTCAAACATGAATTCTTCATTAAACGCTCAAAATTTCTAACGAGTAAAATTTGCTCGCACGAAACCAAACCCTGGTTACAATGAATATGGAGCGGCTGCGCGTCAAATGGGACCCCTCCGATTTAACTACTTTAACAATTTACAAGCATAGTACTGAGCCTCCTAAGGGCCAATAAGGGACATGGAATCAAGTCACGCGACTCATTGTTGAGGTTTTATTGGATAAATATTCTGAATAATTCAAGAATGCGATGAGGATGGGCAATCTCAATTTGATTTGTTTAATTAACAAAACATTATATAAAGTAAAATCCTTCTGATTCCCCTGGCTCTGTAGGGTGGGCGACAATTGACCCCCCGACAATTGACCGTAACCGTAACCGTAACCGTAACCGTAACCGTAACCGTAACCGTAACCGTAACCGTAACCGTAACCCTTACCCTAACCCTAACCAAAACCCTAGCCCAAACTCTAACCTTAACCCTAACCCCAACCCTAACCCTAACCTTAACCCTAACCCTAACCCTTACCCTAACCCAAACCAAAACCCTAGCCCAAACTCTAACCCTAACCCTAACCCAAACCCTAGCCCAAACCCTAACACTAACCTTGTCGGGGGGTCAATTGTCGTACTTAGCTCTAGATTTCGCGACAATTGACCCCAATGTAATTACATAGGGGGTCAATTGTCGGGGGGTCAATTGTCGGGGGGTCAATTGTCGCGGTACGGCTCTGTATTGGTTGCACTTTGTCAGTTATTCTGTCATTATGACCCCCGCTCTAGAATTATAGTCAAGTAATATGCCAGGTCTTTTGGATATGATCTCAGGGCCCAGTAGCAGTAGCAGGTCTCTAGATCCGATGTTATATGCTGGGCCCTTTTGTTCAGATACTAGGATCCAATAGCAGGTGCTATACTGAGGGGCACTAAGAATTGATCACGTGACCAAATTCGACAGCTCAAGCTTCCGCGCTGAGCTACCAAATTTTAACCTCTATGTTACCAAGGACAAGTAGATAATTATTTACAAGAGCTGGGGCGTTTACACTAACAGTTCCTCTTTATAATATCATTTAGACCTTTCTAAGTCCCGCAGTTAAGTAATTTAAAGTGAATTCGTATTTTCACGTGCTTTTGAGCGAGTTGTTGTGTATGTTGTGGTGGCGAGGACGTTCTTGTAAAGTTTTAACAATTTGTAAATCTCTTTGCCATTTTAGATTTTATTTTCACGGGTTACTTTTCAACACCTCTTATATCAGTGTTATTCTTGCGACATTTTATTGATTTATTTGTTGGGCGGGGATTTATACTAAAGTTAAAGCAGGCTCTTAGGGGATTTGGTTGCGGTATGGATAATGGCCTGGTGATAGGATATAGAATATAAAGTGCAAACATTGGGAGGGGGGGGGGGGGTGCAACCATATTAAAGTATATTAAAATGTAGGTTTTTTCCAATTTTGACCCGGGGATATACTTTAATATACTTTAATATACTTTAATATATTTTAATATACTTTAATATATTTTAATATACTTTAATATACTTTAATATACTTTAATATACCTATATTATTTTCTTTAAAGGCCTATAATGTATAGATTAGATTTGCCTTTCATGTTAAGTTAGTCTTGTTCAAAGATACTCATACTTGACCAATTTATGTGCCAAAATATATCAAATTTGGTGCATATTCCCAAATATGGGTATATGGTTTTTGATTCATAACTTAGCCATTTTTGTCCAGTCTCGATGAAAATTCAAATACAAGTTCAGGGGACCACTAGCTACAAGTAGAGCACCTTAAATCGGAGTTTTGGGAATTTTTAGGTGGAAAAGAAAATAGTAAATTGGGGTTTTACTGTACGCGGTTTCGAGAAAAACGAAATCGTCAGGAACCTGTTCAAAGCGTGACGTCATGGTCGGTATTGCGAAATCCTTATTAGAGGCAATTCTATTTCGACTGCGTGGGGTTGACTATTAAGTTTCTATAAAGAAGGTGGTTGGCAGAACCACCTGTATTTAATTGCTATTGTTAGAATAGTATTCTACCTATTCACAAACTTTATCATGTCATTTTATTTAAATATCACTATGATTTAGGCTTTAGCTAATGATAATCTACAAGCACTTACCTGGGGACCCCAGGCTATAATGTTCATAAACATATAATAATAAAGATTCTGCCGAATAAAGATTCGGCGGAATGACAGGCTGAGCGCGGCCCCGTAAACAAGCACCTGCTCAAATTGCCTCTTAGATTCGATCATTAAATCGATTCAATAATTTCTCTCATAACAGCAGAATAGGCATTAGTGCCATAATATATTTGATTTTGTTGCCATCACAAATATACATAATATACTAATAGTACAGTAACATGTAGTATATTTCAAATTATTTGCAGCTGACAAACCTGGTAATGAACACACATGGCTCAGATTTGTAATTTTTGGCAATAAAAAGCGCGAGCCAAAAGCTATCACATTTTGTTTGTATTTCCAAATATGGGCATATAGTTTTTGGCTCATAACACGGCCATTTTTTGTCCAAACTGGATGTAAATTAGTGTATGAGTTCAGGGGACTAACAAATGGCTTATCTTGTAAATCTTAACGAAGAATATAAATCTACTAATTGTAGGTATATTAAAGTATATTAAAATGTAGGTTTTTTTCCGATTTTGACCCGGGGATATACTTTAATATATTTTAATATGGTTGTCCCCCCCCCCCCCCCCCCCCCCCCCAATCAAGGATCTTGAATCATTTTAAGCTCATAACGCTGTTTTAAATTCCTGATTGGGTCATATTTTGGCAATAGATTGTACTTCAATCTACGAGTCCTAAGATAACTATACTTTCTATCAGAGACATGGCACTGTTCAGTGAAGGAGGAGGAAGTTTTCCAGATGTTGCGATAATCGTCGGTCTCCTCGTATTTTGCCTTATCTCCACTGCTGTTAATCCGGTAGTGTTCATTTATAACAGCAGAAAGTTAAAGTCAGTTCCTCAGTTCCTGTTCAGAATGCTAGCTGCAGTGGACTTTTTAACGTGCCTTGTCATTCCTATCTCGGTAAGTAATGGAGCTGAACACTTTGTTAATGAACTGAAAATGTTTATTGTGCTCGATTTGTGTACCACTTTATTGCTATAGCCTTCCTGTGAATAGGGACCCAATATGGTAAAACCTTTGCAGTAATTGAGTAATTGCCATATTCGCTGATACAGTTTCCAGATGAAGAATGTGAATTTCTAATAATATTATCTAATTTCTAACAATATTAACTAAAACTATTCAAGGTTCAGAGACAAAATATAGAGAACCATCTAACATTTTTTTCAGGTCAGTGTTAACGTATTGAAACTTAACGATCAAGATCAAGAATGTAATACAGTAGACAACAAAACAGTTTGTCCACCACCCCCATATCTGGAGGAACATGATGATGTTACTTTAACAGAGAAAATAATGGGTGAGTGAATAATTGGCATACAAATTACAATTAGCTAGAATCCCAACAGAAATACCTGGCATAAAGTAGTCAACATACTCTAATGCAGTAACAGCTTAAGACAGTGGTAAGCTTGGAAGACGAAGTATAAAACACTAACAGTACAGTAAATATTAATCAATACTGATATTAATACTATTAATAACAAGTATTAATATATCAATCCTGATATTTATAAAAACTACCCCCTGCCAGGAATAACCACGTGGACGCTCCTCATCACACCCCCTATGATAACAGCTCTCCTCGCCACCTCACGGTACCTACAGACCCGGTACCCTCTCCGCCGGCTCAAGCTCCGCTACATCATCGTCTTCCTCTTCCTCTACCTGGTGTACGTGGTGGTGTGCCTCAGCTGTCTGTTCTTCCAGGACCACACTCGTTATTACTCCCGGATACAGTCCGTGTGGAATGTATTCCCAGGGTTGGATATGCTGGGTACGGTTCTAGCGTTCACCGCACCTTGTATCGTGTGTCAGGTCCTCTCTGTTTTATTCTCCCTGCTCACTGTCTTGGAACTGTTTAAGAGTATAAGGGACCCAGCTGCCGTGCAACTCAGGAAACATGGGTGGAAGTGTAGTTTGAAGATCCTTATAACTAACTTTGGGAGTATCCTCTTCATGGTATTTTATTTAGCCATGATTAAGATCGCGGGGGTGCAGAAAGAGCGTACTAAAACGGACTGCATACTTTATCTTATGTATTCAGTGGCTGTTCCTGTGTTTTTATCTGTCTTTAACCCTGTTATATTCGTACTCTTTACTCCGCAAACTTTCATAATGGCATGGCAGAAGTTCGCTCACCGGCAGAGTATCCCCTCGAGAGTCCAAAGTATAGACTTGCTGAACATTCACCCTAAACCTCACACTGCCATAGAAGCCAAGACTGACACCCCAAAAGTCTACAAAATCGGAAAAACATCAACAGTATGCCAGGTAAAGCAGATCAGCGAAGTAGACCTCCAGAACATGGTGTACAGTAACTTCCACACGATCAGGAAGGAGACGCAGAACAACGTGTTGGAGAGGATGCAGAGTCCCGTGGTGTTTGATCTGAGCGAGGGTGGTGACAGGCAGAGGAGGGTCAGTCGGTTTATGAGCATGGATCAGAGCGAGAGTCTCATCTCCCCGCTGAGTGGGGCTGATGACAATTTCTCTGTGTTCAGTAGAAATTCCTCAGTTAATGTGGGAAGGCGGGACACTGCAGCTAGTAGGGGTGGGAACAGTAGGAAAGACTGTGATGGTGTTCTGGATACAAGGAGTTTCCCTAATGTAGCAGTGCTCAATAAGAAAGCACTGAGTGCCATTGCTGTTGTAGCCGAAAGAGAAAGTGAAAGCAAATCTGAAACTAACTCTAACAAAGAAACTGAAAACAAACCTGGTGCTCTTACTATTGATAAAACTGACATTAAACCTGAATGTGTTTCGGTCGAAGATATCATTTTGAACGCTAAAGTAAGTGCGAGTAGCGGAGAGCTTACAGAAGACGAGGTGATTGCTGACATAATCGCAGCAGTGGAAGTAGCCGAACCTCAACGAGCGTTTGAGACACTAAAACGTGAGGATATATTGAGCAACAGTGATAATATGAGTGATGGAGACTTGAATGAATTTGATTGGGAAATCGAAAAGGAGGCGGTTTTAACAGCGCTGCGAAGTAAAATAACTAATACTATTGATAAACGTTGAATTTAACTTAAACTAACAGTTTGGACAGTAATGAAGAAAGGGTTATTGTTAAGGTTTTTGATATTTTGTCATTTTTCAGTTTTTTTTTCCTCTATAAAGTTATAAATCACCTTCGTCGTAACATAACTAGAGAATTTTTGTTTCTAATTTCGAGTTTACTAGTAAGTATATGAAGTGGAAGGGAGATAAAAGTACGGCTGGATACGGAAATTCAGCATCTATAATTGTCACTCCGTTATTTATTGAATTATATTTTTAATTCTATTAAATCCTGTCGAAGACCAATTGTAAAGGAAATGCGTCACGACTCAAGATCAAAATATGTACCATTAACACTGATGACAAATCACAAAACATATTTTGACAGTAGATATGCAGTTCGAGCATATGTTCAAGCATTTAACTTAAATAAGAAAAGAAGTAAATACTAAATACCTGTATGAGTCTGATAAGAAAACAAGTTAATACCTGTATGAGTCTGATAAGAAAACAAGTAAATACCTGTATGAGTCTGATAAGAAAACAAGTAAATACCTGTATGAGTCTGATAAGAAAACAAGTAAATACCTGTATGAGTCTGATAAGAAAACAAGTAAATACCTGTATGAGTCTGATAAGAAAACAAGTAAATACCTGTATGAGTCTGATAAGAAAACAAGTAAATACCTGTATGAGTCTGATAAGAAAACAAGTAAATACCTGTATGAGTCTGATAAGAAAACAAGTAAATACCTGTATGAGTCTGATAAGAAAACAAGTAAATACCTGTATGAGTCTGATAAGAAAACAAGTAAATACCTGTATGAGTCTGATAAGAAAACAAGTAAATACCTGTATGAGTCTGTTTCCGCATCGGTCCAGAAGATGTGTAACATTGGCTGTTTGTTGAGATCTTCGTTAGTCTTTGTAACTGCTACCTGTCAGAGAATTAAAATAACAATCAATATTCACTACTGAATTAAATGGCTTAGGGCCTTAATAATAACAAAGTAAATGTTTTTAAGTTTAACTGGATTGAAGTTTAATCTCCGAATTCCCACGCCTACTCCGGGTCAGTATGTAATCACTTTTTGAACAATTTTTACCCCCCCCCCCCCCCTCCGTAATCAGTTTTACACTGTGTCAAAATTACACTGTGTCGTAATAATTTGGAAACCCCCCCCCCCCTCCCCCCTCGGCTGATTACGTAATACATATGTGAACGACCCCTATAGATATTGGCTCACCTCAAAGGGGTGACTGACGATGTCTATGTTGACTCTGTAAGTTTTGTGACCGTACATCAGGTCCGTGTGGTGTGACACGAGCTGCTTCAATAAATCCTGCTCCACCAGACCGAACACTCCTGAACAAAAAAAATTAAATATTTTTCCAAATTTAATCACAAATACTTTGATATGATAATCTAATATTAATTTCGCTGTAAATTTTTATTAATACCGTACCCCCTAATTGTGAAGATAAAAAAAGGAATACGAGGAACTTTCGATGATAGATAATCAAAACTAGTAAATAACAACATTACAGAAAACTAAAAAACAAAATTATAGCTTTTGTATTTTTGGATACATCGTTATTTACTAAAATATTCAATTCAATTTTTGAACTTTTTCGAAACACATTGGTCAATTCACTAAATCTGAGTCTATGATTAAATTCAATTATAAATACCGCTTCCAACAAATCAAATAAAAGGGCCCTGATCAGATAAGATTATAACCTGATAAGGAGGATTAGAACCTGTAAGACTGGCGGCTTCCAGAAAATCGAGGATGTTCAAAGGGTGTAGAATGTTCAACTTGACAAAATACCGGTGGAAATTATTTCGTAGGCCGTAAAATGACTCCTGCAGATCCAGTCTTAACCTTCAATTAGACATAACTTAACCTTCAATTAGACATAACTAGCTGAATTAGCTCTGATACGTTCGATTAGAACCTGTAAGACTGGCCTCCAGCTCGCCATAAAATGACTCCTGCAGATCCATTTTGTTGCTTTACTTTAAGGTTTTTTTTATACATATTTGATAGATTTACAGATCTGGCTTGACAAAAATTTTCAGAAAAAATCATGTTTGCGGGAAGCAAAAATCCGATGAGTTTTTTAGGGGGGAGGGGTAGGGGGTTGAGGGGGGTTGGGAAGGGTTGTCACATGACGAGAAATTTTTTGCAAAAATTAAACAATCTTTATTTGTTGATATTATTCACCCCTGTTGCCTAGAGTGGTGGGTCTGCACTTGAGAAGAGTGGGTCTGGCCGCTAGAATGTTGGGTCTGCAATCTAGAAGTGGGTCTGGCAACCAGAATGGTGGGTCTGCAATCTAGAAGTGGGTCTGGCAACCAGAATGATGGGTCTGTACCCTTAAAGAGTGGTCTGACAACCAGAGTGGTGGGTGTGCACTTGAGAATAGTGGGTCTGGCAGCTAGAATGGTGGGTATGCAATCTAGAAGTGGGTCTGTTAACCAGAATTGTGGGTCTACACCCTTGAAGAGTGGGTCTGACAACCAGAATGGTGGGTCTACACCCTTGAAGAGTGGGTCTGACAACCAGAATGGTGGGTCTGCACTTGAGAAGAGTGGTTCTTGCGGCTGGAATGGTGGGTCTGCAATCTAGAAGTTGGTCTAGCAACCAGAATTGTGGATCTGCATTCGAGAATAATGAGTCTTCACTCTAGAAGAGTGGGTCTGACAACCAGAATGGTGGGTCTGCACTTGAGAAGAGTGGGTCTGGCGGCTGGAATGGTGGGTCTGCAATCTAGAAGTTGGTCTAGCAACAGAATTGTGGATCTGCATTCGAGAATAATGAGTCTTCACTCTAGAAGAGTGGGTCTGACAACCAGAGTGGTGGGTCTGGACTTGAGAAGAGTGGGTCTGGCAGCTGGAATGGTGGGTCTGCAATCTAGAAGTTGGTCTGGCAACCAGAATGGTGGGTGTACGTTCACCCTTGAAGAGTGGGTCTGACAACCAGAGTGGTGGGTCTGGACTTGAGAAGAGTGGGTCTGGCAGCTGGAATGGTGGGTTTGCAATCTAGAAGTTGGTCTGGCAACCAGAATGGTGGGTGTACGTACACCCTTGAAGAGTGAGTCTGACAACCCGAGTGGTGGGTCTACACTTGAGAAGAGTTGGTCTGGCGGCTAGAATGGTAGGTCTGCGATCTAAAAGTGGGTCTTGCAGCCAGAATGGTGGATCTGCACTTGAGAAGAGTGGGTATGTCAGCTGGAATGGTGGGTCTGCAATCTATAAGTGAGTCTGGCAGCTAGAATAGTGGGTCTGAAATCTAGAAGTGGGTCTTGCAACATGAATGTGGGTCTGCACCCTTGAAGAGTGGGTCTGGCAATCAGAATGGTACGTCTACACTCTAGAAGAGTGGGTCTGGCAACCAGAATGGTGGATTTTCGCCCTAGAAGGGTGAGTCTGGAAACCAGAAAGGTGGGTCTACAATCTGGAATAGTGGGTCTGGCAACCAGAATTGCGGGTCTGCATTCTAGAATAGTGGATCTTCACTCTAGAAGAGTGGGCCTGGCAACCAGAATGGTAAGTCTACACTCTGTCAACCAGATTTGGGGGTCTATAAACTAGAATATAGGATATATGGCTACCAGAATTGTGGGTTTGGACAACCCGAATGCAATGGTGGGTATTCACTCTAGAATAATAGGTCTGGTGGGTCTACACTTTAGAAGAGTGGGTCTGGCAACTAGATTGGTGTGTCTGCAATCTATAAGAGTGGGTCTGGAAACCAGAATAGTGGGTCTGCAATCAAGGGAATCAACTAATCAAGATGAGTGAGTCTGGCAATCAGAATGGTGGGTCTGCACCTTAGGGTAGTGGGTCTGGAAACAAGAATGGTGGGTCAGAATTCTTGAATAGTGGGTCTTCACTCTAGCTAAGAGTGGGTCTGGCAACAAGAATGGTGGGTAAGAATTCTAGAATAGTGGGTCTTCACTCTAGAAGAGTGGGTCTGGCAACCAGAATGGTAAGTCTACACTCTGTCAAGTGTCAACCAGAATTGGGGGTCTAAACTAGAATATAGGATATATGGCAACCAGAATTGTGCGTCTGGAGTCTAGAGTCTAGAATAGTGGGTCCGGCAACCCGAAAGGTGGGTCTTCACTCAAGAATAGTGGGTCTGGCAATCGGAATGGTGCGTCTACACTCTAGAAGAGTGGGGCTGGCAACCAGAATGGTAGGTCTTCGCCTTAGAAGAGTGGGTCTGGCAACCAGAATGGTGGGTCTGCATTTTAGAATAGTGGGTCTTGACTCTATACCTACTAGAAGAGTGGGTCTCCTCTCTAGAAGAGTGAATCTGGCAACCAGAATGGTAATTCTTCACTCTGTCAACCAGAATTGGGGGTCTATGAACTAGAATATAGGAGATATGACAACCAGAATTGTGGGTCTGGACTCTAGAATAGTGGGTCTGGCAACCAAAATGTTGAGTCTGCACTCTAATAGAGTGGGTCTGGCAACTAGAATGCAGACACGTAGCCAAGGGGAAGAACCCAAAAAAAATAAACCCCCTAGTCCCCATGGTCGCCTGGTAAGTGGGCTGTGTTTATGACTGTTTGATTAAACGACACGACAGGCAGTCGACTTTAGCATTTCGTAAATTATTCCCAAATCCCACTATACAATATGTACTTATTCCATTCAATGTGACAAGTACTGAGTTCCCCCCTAGCCCCCAACTTTGTATTATTGTGATGTCTGAAATTACAAATTTCTAATGCCAAATGTCGTCTGAAACACCCTATTTCTCAAAAATTTTCCGGGGGCTGCACCCCAACTTTGTATTATCGCCGTCCTACAAATTTCTTTAATGCCTAATGTCGTCTAAAACAAATAATTTCTAAAAATTTTCTTGGGGGCTGCGCCCCCCCCCCCCCCCCCCAGTCCCCCAACTTTATATTATTGTGATGTCTGATTATTACTGCGCCCCCCAGCCCACCAACCTTGTATTATTGTAATGTCTGATTATTGCTGTCCCACAAATGTCGTCTGGAACACCCTATTTCTCAAAAAGTTTCCGAAGGCCAGGGCTGCGCCTGCCTAGCCCTCCAACTTTATATTATTCTGATGTATGATTATTGCTGTCCTACAAATTTCTTTAATGCCAAATGTCGTCTGAATCACCCTATTTCTCAAAAATTTTCCGGGGGTTGCGCCCCCAGCCCACCAACCTTGTATTATTGTAATGTCTGATTATTGCTGTCCTACAAATGTCGTCTGGAACACCCTATTTCTCAAAAATTTTCCGAAGGCCAGGGCTGCGCCCCCCTAGCCCCCCAACTTTGTATTATTGTGATGTCTGATTATTACTGTCCTACAAATTTCTTTAATGCCAAATGTCGTCTAAAACACATAATTTCTCAAAAATTTTCTGGGGGGCTGCGCCTTCCCCCCTCCCTAGCCAACCAAAGGAGCTTCGCCCCGGCTACGTGTCGTGTCGGGCTACGTGCCCAGAATCGAAAAAAATTAATCTTTAAATGAATAACGGAACCTTCATTAAGAAGTTACGAGATGATAATATAATTGGGAGGCAAAGTGGGTATCGGGCTTGGGGCTCATAATGCGCAAAATTTGGCCGCTGTCGAGTGGGTCTGCCTAAAATTCACAGATCTAGCTATGGGTCTGAGACATTTGTTTAAAAAAAACCTTACTTTACTTCCAGTTTCCAGTTTGCTACTGTTGTGGCGTCCTAAGAGCTCTCCTGATCATCATCATAACGTTCCCTCTTAATTCCAGGCTTCTAGATAACATGATCAGTGGTGTCATGAGTGCGTTTAGCAGAGGCATCGTGGTGCTTATCATCAATTTGCAAACCAGTACTGCAAAGGGATCTCCGATGTCCAAAGAAAAAGGACTTTTGTACTTTATCTGCATGACGACTATTCCGGAGTTACAAATCAAGAAGACAGCAGAGAGGATGGAGACAGTAGTATTCACATGTGACCAATTTGTGACCACTGGAAGATCAGGGTCACGCGCACGAGTTCTGATCCAAGTGATGGAAAATTGGACCAGGAGGCAGACCAGAACCAACCCAATAGGAGCGAGATACAGCAACCCAATTTGAAAATCTTTTATCATCACCACATCATCCACCCCATCGAAAAATGTGCCATTATGATGATACCAATATTATGGCCGACAAAAGTAAGCACCACATTCCACCACAGAACATCCCAGGGCTTTAAAGGCAGATCCACGTCAATAATATACCAGACATCAGCAGCACACAGTAACACTAGAAAGCTGAAGACAAGAGCCATTGCTATTTTCAGAGCTCCAACTTTGACCTGATGAAAAGGAAACGATATTTTAACCGTCCTTAAAACTGAGAGCAC